TGGCTTTTTGTCTTCTAAACGATTATTTGGTGAAAATTTGGTGTTCTGTTTTTCTCTTTTTGTTTTTTTTTTTTTTATGGTGAAGTGAAGAATGCCACTGATTTCACGAAATAAAATTTTTTAACCGGTATCGCAAGTGCATTTGGTAAGTAGGCCTAATATTTTCTTTTGAAAAAGTTGATGATATAAATCTGCGTTGTAAAAGTGGGTGGGGCATTAGAATATTAATATAAAGCATATACAACAAGATTTATACACATTAAAAAAAAATGTGTTTTTAGGGGTTGTTTAATTAAAAATAAAATACGATTGCAGAAGAAAATATAGAGACGCGATGACGCAAACCCTTTTAAAATGTAATTTTGCTCCATATCGTTTATCGCATCTTTAAACTTGAAAAATTCCGACAACTCCTGCGACACCACAGGTGCCAAGGTGTATCATCCACATATGATGTTCCCTTGGGTTATCCAGATGCGTGGAGAGAGGCAATTCGCTTTGTAGGGTACCAGCTTATACTTCTAACGAATAATCCCAGGCTTTCTGATTTCTTCTTGCGATTGCGAAGTCAACACCATCGTCATTTGTCACGGACGGATGCAATAACAAGCAACTTATTCTTATAGTTTATCTATGCAAATGAGTTTGCACTTTTTTAATACATTTTATAATTTAATAGTTAACCATCCCTGTGGCGCATCAGCCCACGTAGACTAGGGCTTTGGTCTGCCACACCACTTTCTTCCACTCAGACCTAACTTATGCTTTTCTTGTCCATCTGCTGATGGTATCTGCTGAAATTGTAGCAACCACAGTGCGGGCTGTAGCCATTGCCTGGTGTGGTCACAGCTGCAGTTGGAATAACGGTAGAAACAGAGTAGGGATCATGGTTACTATGTTGCCGATGACGGATATGTGACATGAGGTGGGTAGTGGCACAGTGGCAGCCTCATGCTAATGATTACATATATATATATTTATATATATATATATATATATGTATACAGCCATTGAGGAGCCCATTCCTGTTCCTAGGCAACCATTTCGTGGGGGTGTAAAGGATCTTGAGGGCGTCCTTTTAAAAGCCAGCATTTTGTAATATGTTGCTGTAGGACGACTGCATGTTTGAAATGTTTACATTGCGGACGTGCTCTAGTCACTCTAGTCCAGCATTGCCCAAATAATCCGCACACCATGAATATTAATGTTCAAATAAAATGTATATGTCATTAATTAAACTTTTGACGGTCCCTGTTACAATTTTAAAACTTGTGCACCAAACTTAAGGTTTGGGAAACCCTGCTATGGTTCATCCATGGCTAACATATTTTAGAAATAATTATAATTTTAAAACACCAAGAAGTTAGCAAATGCGTCATGAGGGAGACCACTCTAAATGTTGGTTGCTGTTTGTCAACAAATAAAAAACAAATGCGTATTGGAGTTTTCTTTTTCGAAGTGGCTATTCGGACCCGGCTTCCAGAAGTGAGAGGTTGAGATAAAAAAAATGTTTAAAATATAATTGTTGGTTTTGGAAGATAAAATTTTGTATCGAATGAAAGATAATTGAATGGACCATGTTTGTAAACTTAATTCTTCAGTTTAACTAAAATAAACTACCCTAATAATAAACACGGCACATAAAACTATAATTACAACCAAAATAAATTAAATGTTTGTTTACATATTTTAACAAACTGTTTGTGATTAGGGTTACCAAGTGTTTGGTATTGAATTGGACAATCCAGTCATTTCAGTAGACTATCCGGCTGTATTGAATCTCTCACCTACTTATTTTCTGTCACAATATTATCGCTGCCCTCACAGTTCCTACTTCTCAGCTAAGTGCTGTTTTTTAATTTAATTCTGTTTTTTCTCTTTGTTGCCGACGAAGGCTTCCTGCCGACACGTTCGTTATTTTGTTGTGTTCCTTTTTTCATATTTGACCTTCCTTTGTTTTAATCATTTCCTTATTTGCTAACCTGATTGCAGTCTCTCCCCTTACCTTTTTATAAATTATAAAGCAAGTCTGTTGAATAGTTTTTTTATCAATTAAATAAATTATGTTTTTGTATCACTTGATTTTCCATCTTCATTAGACAATTCATACATTCTTGAGCTAAAGTCATAATAAAGATCCTAATGTGCTCAGAAATGAAAGGGTTATTCTTTGACGGCTAACATTCTTAAAATTCGATGTAGTTTTAGTGTATAAGTTTTGGATAAGTTTTCTGTGCATGCTATGAGGCACCTTTACAGTGGAATGAGCTGCTACATGGCAGATTTTTTGTGGAATGAGTTGCTACATATCAGCTTTATAGCGGAATGAGTTGCTATGTGGCAGCTTTAGAACGGAATGAGCTGCTACATGGCAGATTTTTATGGTGGAATGAGTTTCAACATGAAATGAATTGCTACATTGCAGCTTTATAGCAGAATGAGCTGCCAGTGGCAGGTTTATAGCAGAATGAGCTGTTACATGGCAGCTTTATTGTGGAATGAGTTGCTAAAGGGCAGATGTTTTATAGCGGAATGTGCTGCTACATGGCAGCTTTATAGCAGAATGAGCTGCTACGTGGCAGGTTTATAGCAGAATGAGCTGCTACAAGGCAGGTTTATAGCAGAATGAGCTGCAAAGCCGGTTGTTTCAGTCTGGCATCTTCCAAGAAAAAGAAAAATACCAGGAAAATTATTTTGAAAATGTATCATTTATTATTTAAAATTATGTAGTTGCATAACAATTATAAATGTAACCTTCTTTAGCTGTACATTAATTTTTAAGAGTGATGCTTAAGCAATTAGTTGAAAATACATTTTATTTGGGAATTTCTGATAATTTATAATTTTCCATACATATCATATAAAGACTCTCATTAGCAAATGATTGCAAGGTAATATCAAAAACTAAATTTTTGAGATAAACATTGTAAGCAGTACATATTACACGATTTTTTAAAAAGAAACTATTCATCTTTACATAACAATTAAGCATGGCACCTGTACAGGTTCGAGTTTACTGAATATCATAAACTATAAAAATTCCTTAACATTTTATCCTTTCTTAAACTTCAGGACTCACTGAGCAGACCATTATTAAAACTGCCAAGATAAGTATTTTCCTTATCTCTTTCCCCGTTTAGCACCTTGGGGTGGCTTCTGCAGCTGAAAAGGCTGTTTTGTGTTGGCTGAAACATTTAGGTTAGTTCCAGCAAGATTGAGCGCGGCTGTAGTCGAAGCACCCAAAGTGGGGGGCGTTCCGAATCCGCCGGTGGAAGGAGATGATGTCAACGATGTAGAGGAAAACAGATTTCCAACTCCACCAATACTTGCGCCAACACTGGAGATGCCGTTGCCAAATCCTGAAAGTGGAGTAACAAGATGTATTCACACAAGGGCAGTCACAGCATAGCAGAGGAATGGTTAGTTAACCCTGACCTAGCCATTTTACTGATCTGCTTTTTCGGTTCCACCAAAAGAAAAATTATTTAGTTTTGTTTGCTCACCTCAAAGGATTAGATGGTGACCAAACAAAAATTCTTCAGTTTTGAGATCTTGCTAATTTCAAAGCGGCTGTGTTGAGAAAAGTTTAAAAAGAACTCTACTTCAGCCAACTTTAAAACCCAAATGTTATTTGCTTAGAGTTAAATGGAAACTTCCACCATAAAGCAGACACCCTACACTTTTGCATATCAGAGTATTGTTTACATGAACTGGTATCATGCAAGTTTAATACAGGAACAAAACTAAGTGAAATAAAACTAAACACTACTAAAAAAATTATAAAATACATAGACAAAGACAGATAAAGTACATATTTTACCATGTTAGTATGTGTAACTTAAGTAGCTGAACACAAAAGAAATGTAAATTTATTTTTCTTAATTTTTGTACCACTATTGCTTCTATACTTTGAAAAACTTTATGTTGAATTTGTTAAAGAAATGTTTTAAAATTTTGGAAAAAAAAAAAGTATGTCTTTCTTTACAGAGAATGTTCTTGTTAATCAAGAATTTCCTTTCCAATACTGTATCATAATTGTAAGTAAACAAACATACAGTTAACCTATGCAATGGCATAGGAAGTGGATGTGGTCCACTCTGGGGGGCACCTTTTTTCTCTTTATGGAGCTGCAGCAATTTGGAACAACTGAAGTTTTTCCATTGTAGGGGCAGTAAATTATCGGTCGGGTCACCCAGGGTGGCACTGACCCAAGCTACACCACTGAATGTATACAGTCAATATTCCCTAACTAAAGGTCACTTTGATGAGCGACAAAGATGGGGTGGGGGAGCAAAAAATCAAGGACGCATTCCAAAGTCACATAGAACAATTTTAAAAAACTGTAAATACTGGGATGCACCAAAGGTTTATACTTGAATTTATGTTTGAGTCATTCTAAACTTAATTGGGGAAAAACTGAAAAAATGCTTGTGGAAAATTAGGTTCAGATGAAGAACGAAATAATATGTCACTAAATTACCTCAAACAACCCTGTGGCAAACAAAAGCTAAGGTTAACTAAATGTGTCAAGAGGGCGACATCTTAAAATCGTACATTGTACGCCAAAATTGTAAGAGTAACCTGTTCAGTCAGTGGTACTACAGAGTATACTTATTTATCTTTTTATAAAAATTTGTAACATATTTACATATTTGCAGCAATACAACACAGCAAGGTAAATATAAATATTAAAGTAACATGTTAAAGAGAAACTAGAAACAAAGTAGCTACAACAAAAAATCATGGCCATAGATGTCCAACCTGTGTTTGGTTTTGGTGCTCCAAACATCCCACCACCGAATGTTGATCCAAATGCTGAATGGGAGCCTCCTACTAAACTTGTTATTGGGGGACCTGGCATGAAAAAGAGTTATTGCTAGAGCATAACAATACATGAACTAACTGGTCCAAGCTCCAACAAAACTCAAATTATTTATCTTCATGATGACCACTTACACATTCTTAAAAGTGTATCAAAAGCACAATAATCTATACAATTTATTACAATATTTTAAATTACCTTGGGGTTGTTGCGCACGTATGTGTACCATTGCCATTGCATGTGCTGCAGCATTAGTTGAACCAGGAAAGGGGCTTGGACCGGCCAAGTCTAAAAACTGTGTCCTTTTTGTAGCTTTTATAACAGGTGTGGGTTTGTGAAAGATATTCTTAGAATCTCCATGAAACACTCGCCGGTAAGTTAAAAATTGCTCTTTTTGACTCTGTAAACAAAATATAAAATATGATTACAATTGAAATGTGTCTCTAAAACCAATTTTGTTGTTTACAAATACAAACAGCAGAATAAACAATAATATAACAACAGGGTAACTCTTAATGTTCTAGATAAAACAGTTTTAAAAAATATAACAATGTTTTCCCAAAAATATGCCACTAGTAAGACATTAAAATTATTACCTTGACGGCTTCATGGACTTGTTGTAATTGGGCAGCTAATGATATGAATGTCTCATGCAACTTTTTCAACAAAGACAACACCTCTGTGGAGATATAAGTCACCATTTCAATATCCTAAAAGAACAAGCCATATGGCAGAGTACAGGGAACTTTAATAGCTATACCCAATATTTGTTTATGCCAATCTTACCCCTCAATTGTTTTGTACAATTTTATTGACACTCACTGAATTTACATTACTGCCCATCTCTTACCAATGACCCTTAGTTTGATTTACCACAGTTTCCCAAGCCCTGCATTACTCTAACTAGTAAATACCCTCTCATGGTAATGATATTGAACTTTACATTTTATAATGTTAAAAGAATATGGTCTTGTCCATCTAATAAGCCCACATAAAGTTAATACTATTTGGGTGAAATAAGAAGAAAAAAAATGTTATCTATAAAATATAAGTAATAAGTACTTGTAAATAATGTCAGGATCACTTGAAAGGAAGATATAATATAGATTTACATCTTTAATAGCAAGAAAATAGCAAAAAATAATAGATAAATGTGTAACCTGATGGTGTATGTGGGTTAGGTTGATGGAGAGCTGCAAGATGATTGTCCAGAGTTTCAATTTGTTGCCTGTATGTTACCATCCTTTCCTCAAATTCTTCCACTAAATGTTGAAAATATCTGTAATGCATAGATTAACTAGTAATCCATATCGACCTTATAAATAAATGCATGTATATTTTTTTTTTATTTAGTTTATTAGCTACCTTACTCTACTTTTTCAACAACTTATGAGTCAGAAATGGTAATAATAATTTTTCAATAAAAAATATATGGGACTAACTCTGTTGGGGCAGTATTCTCATACTGTAAGCCTGCAGGTATGTCTCTTGTTCTTTGAGCCATCTCTGCATTTTTAAGTTTCTGAAATCAGATTGTTTAAATGTCGGGCAAAATTTAGTTTGGCATTCAAAATAAAGTTTTATGTATCCAAATGGGCAAAATTTTTTATCATTGCAACAAGTGGAAAATCGGCTAAGAAAGTGGGGGAATTTAAAAAAGACATAACTCTTTTGCTTAATTTAGTGTGCTAGGTAGATAAATTTGATATTTCCTGCATATTATGAGAACAAAAGGCTAAGCAATCTAATTTGACTTACTGGGAGGAAAAGATACTGCTGGCATTAAAAAAAAATAAAAAAATAGAGTCCTTTCTGACAAATGAGGTCATCTTATTAAACTGAGAGATAAAACAATCTAGATCAGTGGTTCTCAAATTGGGCTGTACCCCAACCCCCAGGGGGTGTTGTGACTGCTAAGGGGGGTTCAGTAGGCTTAATCAATTTTCAAATACTGCGACGGTGCTTTTGAAGAAAAGCAAAAAAAAAGCTTAAAAATGATATAGAGCTGAGGCCAAAGTAACAAGCTAGGGAAAAAAAGGGTTGTGGCCACAAAAGGAAATTTCAAATCTTTAAGCACTGTGGAATGTTGTCTTTCCCAAGTTGTATTAGGTGGAACATGGTTTTAGAGTGGCTGTTCAACTTTGCTCAAGCAAAGAAATAGGCTCCAGATTACTGAACCAGGCGATTTGAGTGTCCTGCTAAGTGGCTTTCAACCAGACATTGAAAAACTCATATCACTTCACAAAGCTCATCCTACAAATTAAGAACATTTGAACAGTGAAGAAAGTTAGCTACTACAGTCTAGACCAGTCTGTTAAATTTCTCCATTATGAAAAAGTGTATATCAACAGAAGAAGAAATTTGGTCAACTAGTAAGTTTTTTAAATAATGAGAATCACGCCGTGTTCTCCAGGAGGTATTGCATTCAACCCTATGAAGTCAACAAGGAACATGCATCGACGTGAACAACAATACGTCAGTTCACCTAATGTTTAATGGGTGCAAGGGTCAAAGAAAAAATTCTTGATTTATAATATAATTATCCTACTTTGTGGACTTGATATCAATGGATCAAGATAATCAACTTTATTTTTAAATGTTCAAATATATATGTTAAACTTGCTCATTTTATGCTGTTAAAATTGTCCTTAGAGGCTTGTACAAAAGTACTATTCTGAAAAATTATTTGAACAGGTTAAGTTAGAAGGGTGCGGTATGGATATATTGATGGCCTCAAGAGGCCAGTGGATTAGAAAATTTTAAGAACCACTGGTCTAGATTTTGGCTAGTAAGAATAAACACCTTTTACTAAACAATGAAATTACCAATGACATTGTAATAAAGTACTAGTATTCAGCAATACTTTGATGTCTTCAACTTTAAACACAGGGAGTTGTGTGGGATGGTGTGTGTAAATAACAGTGAATATCTTAAATAAGATTATTTTTATAACACATTTAAATTTAAATGTAAATTAATTTTTTTGTTTGTCGTTTCACAAGCTCAAAATACTCAAATACAATGTTTCTTATACCTGTGTGATTTCTTGTTTTAATTTTTCGACTGAGCAAGCATTTCTCTGTAGACCATTTGCAACAACTGATAGCAGTTGCCTAAGGGCTGTCACATCTTCTTGAACTTTTATCATTGGTTTGGAAGACATGCGAGCAATGTCTTCCCTCACTGCCTTTTCTTCTTTCATATATTTGCTAAAATAATGCAATGATAAGAAACATTACAAGAGAAATATCCAGAATAAATCATTAAATATCAATATCACAGAGTGTTCAGCAAAAACCTGATGGAAATTAGAAGTATTAAAAATAAAATTAATTTCATTTATACTTACAGCAGTGGTTCCACTGTGGCTGCTAAAGGTTCTGGTAATTCGACTTCCTTAGGAGTCTTGCCATCACTGCATAATAAAATTAGCACATTACAAAAGAAAAATCGATCTTAAAATACTCATGCATTAAAAATTATATCTGAAAGAGTAGATTTTTACAATAGTTAAATGCTGCGGCTAGCAAACTTTTTTGTTTTTTTGTTGCTATGGACCAAATTTCAAATGTTTTAAGTACCAATTTTTTATTTCTTTTCAAAATATCAAGAATTGAAACTTTGGGTTTTTCTTACTGAAAAATAATATCAAGATTTTTACAATATATTCAGATTGCAATGCTTGTATATTTACTTTAATGACTTAATTATCTGATATATTAAACTAATTCAATTTTAAGTACCTTACAATAAAAAAATTATAATTTGCACAAAAACAAAATCATTTAAATTTACCTTGCTGCACCGGCTCCACTGTTATGACCTATTAAATAAAACCAAAGAACCCAAAGAATTTTTAGAGTGTAAATATTATTAATTAGCACTATTTCAATTTATTAGTAATAATAATTACACTTGTTACTAGTATTCAGCTGAATAATATGTTGCAAATGCTTGTTACAAGAGGAAACATTTTGCAATTATTCTTTTTAGCTTAGGCAATGTATAAAATGTTTCCATATTACAACTTAAGATTAAAAAGAAATCCATATGGTAAATTTTAATTTTAGGTCTGAATGTATGTACAGTTAGTATAAGTACCGGTAACTCAAACTTTCATATTTTTAAAATATATGCATTATTAGATATATACTAAATGAGCTCACCTGATTTAAGAACTGTATTGGGGTCCACTCCACCAAGCCCAGTAGTAGTTGTAGTAGGAGGAAGAGATGCAAAAATGCTAGAGCCAGCAGTTGATGTTGTTGCAGCAATCTGAGTGCCAAATATCCCCCCCAGCCCTGAAGTTAAACCAGTACTAGTGGACGTAGGTGCAGAACCCAAGAGTGAGTTCCCTAGTAAAATATAGTTAATGGATGTTAAAAAAAGAAATACAACTTTGGTAGTATCATTATGTTCTTTTTTTATTACTGTTTATTTAGTTTCACAAAGCTAACTATACCTGACATACCCTTCCTTGACAGCTTGCAACTTTCTTTTCCTCTATTCCTTCCCTAGTCTGATGCACACAATTATTTTTTTTTTAATAATACTTGCAGACTCTCCCCCACCCACCCACATTGTCCTTTGTGATGTACCTATAACTTGATCTTTCATTCTGCCTCACAATTCAGTCATTTGTGAAATGGTTTAAATGCAGATTGTGATATGAAAAGACATAAATCAATACTGTACCAAAGCTAGGAGCTGCAGTAGTTGCTGTTGTCTTTCCAAAACTGAAGCCACCTTGTGTTGATGGAGCTGTAGAGGCTGGTACTGTTGCCATGGAAAACCCAGCAGCTGTGGTAGTACTGGTTGGGGTTGTTCCAAATCCACTGAAGCTCATACTGGGAGTAGTTGATGGGGTGGCTGTAATCCAATTGTAAACAATATTATTTTATTGATAATGATATAAGGAATATAAACCATATTCTTTATTACTAATATTGATTTGATCACTTGATGTAAATTCTTTTAAATAACAAATAATAACATGTTCTAAAAACAGGAAATTGTAATTAAAGTACAACTATATTCCGATCAAAATCTAACATAGTATGAAAATGTTATAAGTGAGTATTTTACCTAATAGACCAGTAGAAGCTGTAGTCTTATTAATTCCAAAACTGAAACCAGTAGACTGAGTAGAAGCAGATGGGTTCAGCATTGAAGTGGTTGTTTTTGCAAAGTTAAATGCCAATGGGGAAGCTGCAGCGCTTGTAACCGTTGCTACATTGCCAAAATTAAAGGTAGACATTTTTTGTTTCTATCTGAAGTGAAAATAAAAAACAAGGAACCATTTTTAAAAAAATCAATTTTACAGTACTTAACTCTCTAATGTGGAAACTGTTGAGGAAATAAATGTTCAAAAAAAAAATAAATTTTTTTTTACCACTGAGAATTTTTAACTTCTGAAATTTATATTTGCTACCATTTAAATTTATCATCTTCAAGATATATAATGATATGAAAAGCAAATGAGCGTTATCAAAATTTTTAATAATTTATTTCCTCTCCACTTTAACTTATATGTGTACGTGAATAAATCTGAGCTTATGTCTTAACTTTCTTCAGGTTGTTGTTTATTAATCATGAAACCAAGTTATCTGTGAATTCCATAAAAAGTAATGATTTAAATTCAACAAATAAATTGAAAAAAACAGTGGTTTGTCATTGCATCACATTAAATCATTTTATAGAACTTTATTGATTTATTTTACCATATATTACATTGTATAGCATGATCTACAAATAATGCAAACCCCCCCAACACTTCGTTAGAAAAAAAGCCCTAAAATGCCATGTTCATGTATAATGCAATCTATTAATATTATTCCATAAATTCATAATAATACAATACAAATTAATGAAATAAGTATTTATTTTTAATATAAATGTCAAAATCCTTTAAATTATTATATTCAAAATGAACTGTGGTCAAACCGATACTAACTATGCTTATACTTATATCCTGTCAAAGGAGCGCTTTTCACATTACTGGTGTTTTGAACAGGTACGATGCACGCTTGATCGCCGATGGAAGTGGGCCAAAAAGATTTGGGTTGCATGGGCATTTAAATATATAATAAGCTAGAAATAAAAATTTTTTACAAGTGCTTATTATCTTAAACAAGGGAATAGCCTGGACTGAAGTTTCTTCTCACCCTGGTTTAAATTCCTATTAAAACATACAATCAAGAAAGTACTTTGATATAATAATAGAACAGCTTTTTTTTAATTTAAGTATCTTATGATCAACAAGTATTTGACTGTGTCAAAAATCAGATTAACAATTTTTAGTACCCTCTCTCTGGTCAGGATGGGGCTTGGTTTGTGTTGGGTTTGTTTTCATTTATCTGTGATCAAAACTTACTGTGGTAGTTCTAAGAATCAACATCAAGTGAAAGTATTACACAGTACAGGTGTGAAAAAAATGTGAACTCTGGTCTAATGCATAATAGCTTGGAATTTCAACTTATAATTAATGTAGGTGATTTTCACTCCTTAAAATAGATGGATTGAAGTATTGGAAGTACGGAGTACATTTACCAAGTCTAAGACTATTTTATTTTTTAAAATTGTATATCTACATTTTTCTTTCTCCATTCCTCTGAAATTTGGGTAAAAAAGATAACTGAATTTTAATATCAAGTTATATCTCTTTGTGAGACCAAACTATGGACCCTTTACCTTAATTCCGAACTATCCTATACTTATCCCATTCAACCTACCCTTGGATCTCAGCCAGGCATTTCCCCTACTACCTCAAACCCTTCCCCTGCTTTCTCCCACCAACAACTCCATAACTCTCTGTTCCCTCATGCTATCATCTGGCTTCTTTACTTTCTCCCCCATCAACCTAATCTACCCTTTCCTTCTCACTCTAGTCTAAACCTGCCCTAGACTTTATCCTCATCACGGCTCACCTACACCCTTTTTTATTTTGTCTATTACCCGGTACCTTCACCTGCCATTATTAAGTCAATTTACAGTTTAAGTTTAATCACCTCCTCCACTCCACCCTTATTACTTACACTTACAGTACCAATTTCCCCATAATCTTTCCCTTATCATGTACACCTTAACTCCTACGCTGCCTATCCACCCTAGGTAGTTATCTAATAAATACCCAGAGTAAAGCACACAAAAATGCTACATGCATGCAATTCCAATAGTACTTATAGGCCTATAAGTACTATAAGTAGAATATATTTTATATGTGAGAAGGAAATGATAAATATAATAATTATAATAATAAAGTTTATTTGAAAATCACGCTTCATCCCCAAAGGCTCGAAGCGCGGTACATCGTCTAGTATATTAAAATAGAAATGAAACAATTTATAATATACCACATTGAAATACAAAATGCAACATTGGATTGGAAAAAACTATGTACGAGAATACCCATTCTAAGTTTTTCATACCTAACAACCATAAACAACACAGGCCAATACACATCTACAAGATAATAGCTAGATAGACAACTTCATCCCTGCAGGAAATAGATATGTCTTCAGATCAGTTTTGAAAGACTCCAGTGACTGGCTGTTTCTGAGAGCGACAGGAAGAGTGTTCCAAATTGTTGGGCCAGCAAATGCGAAAGTACACCCCTTGTAAGTCTCAAGGCGAACACGTGGTATCGAGAGTTTGCCACTATCAGATGAGCGGAGTTTTCTAGTGGGTACATAAGGCGTCAGCAGCTCTTTGAGATAGGACGGTGCCAGTTCATTGTTCATGCAAGCTTACTTCTTCAGTTTAACTAAAATAAACTACCACAAATGACATCCGAATAGCATTTAGTCTAAATAAAGGGACCCGGACACACATAGCTGCTATTCCTCCCTTTACTTAGATACTTCGATGAAACAAGGGAGACTACTATTTTTTTTGTATCGGAAATGGCTGTCGGCGCCGAAAAATCCGAGTTTTTAATTTTCCGATGTGTGTGTCTATTTATTATTAAATTAGTTCTTTCCACATATATTTGAGTTCCGTTTCCGGCCTTATAATTTGGAAGACATCTTGGCCTACATTTCTAGCCAGCTATTTTGCTTTTTCAATCGACCTTTATTTTGAAAATCTTTGGTATATATAAGGCATCTTCGCATACAAAATTTTTTGTGAAATAATAAGATAAGGTCCTTTTTGATTAAATCTGTATGAGCATTAGATATTGATCTATATCTGTGCCAAGTTTCATTGATGTAGGTCGTGTCTCACGTTTGTTACACTTGTCACAGTGACCCATATCACCATAAGGTGGCTCAGCCTAATTTCGACATGGCGTGGGCCACGCCCCCTTTTTAATGGCGGAAGTTGCCGATACTTAGGAAATATTTAATTATTACCACTATATACATCAAAATATTTTATATTTTGTGTTTCAGAATGCATTTTGAAGACATTTAAACTGGAATTTTTTTAATTTGAGCTTTAAAAACCCTGCAGAGTCCATAATATAAATGATCAGAATTTTCCCTGTGCAACACGTTGTCATTGGCAACCATTCACAGCCACTTGCATAACGGCTACGTTGTAGTACTATCTCAGAGTTTCATTCATAAGAGTTTGCCGTGTGCAAAAGCTATTAAACCATTGGTCAGGGAAAGCTTTTATTAATTATTCATGTGCCAAAGTTGAAAGTTTAAAATAAGTCGACCCTAAACAGTATTTTAGTGATAGGGAATGTGTTGCCTTATATAAACTATATAGTCATTGCGCATGACGCGATCAGTGGAATGAGGTCACAGAATGTGGAGATGCAGTCCATGTTAAAAAATGACAAACCAAGTCGTACTTTAAAAATTCATAACTTTAAAACTACAACAGCTAAAAATATGATTTTGGTGTTATAATTCTGTTTAAAATTAGCTCTATTCAACTGTGCCATTGGTTTATTTTTTTTAAATGTTTACATTTTTGACCAAAGTATCTAACTTTACTAAACTTACTTACTATTTACTTTAGACTAAAAAAATAAATACTTAAATACTATTACTATTGGGTTCGGATGTCATTTGTCTTAGATTATTTTAATTAAACTGAAGAAGTAAGTTTATAAACTTATAGTCCATTCAATTATCTTTCATTTGATACCAAATTTGTCTTACAACAGAACAATAATATTTTAAATATTTTTTTAATCCCAACCTCTCACTTCTGGGACAAGGGCCCGGGTCAGTATTACCCCCACTTGGTTTTTTAAAACCCACGACATACTGTTAATGAATTGGAACTTAAAATAACAAAATTTTGAAAGTGTGACTTCATATAAATAATACCTCTTGGTACCTCTTCAATTATAATTGGTTGAATTTCAATTACAGTTACTTCATCAAAAAGTACCGGCTAAGTTCTTATTTTATCTCATTTTTAGCCCGCTGATGGCCATGTTTTTCACCTTTCTTCCGGTGCGCTTATTTACGAAAGTACCGAAGCGTAGACGTGTACATTTATTCCCTTTACACTGCGTTAACGGAATTCAATAAAATCCCTATTAAGGTGACTACCAATAAAACTTATGAAATGGATTATGTAACTGGAACAACCTATGCAGATTTTAAAGAACGCAAGTATTTCCAAGATAACATCCTTCCTAAAAAAATACAATAAATTGTAATAAAATGTATTATTGTAGTGAATGGAGAATGTTGTCCATTATCTTTATTGTGTCTGTAGTGATTCACTAACGTGGCTACAGTTTGTGACGAGATACCGTAGAGAAGAAAATCGCACTTATGTAGAGCGATTGTAGCAAGTACGATGAATCGTAATGGGTTAGTGGAAAGGTGGGGAATATCAAATGTTATTGAGGTAGAGGAGGCGGGTCGAGAGAGGTGAGAGAGATTTAATATGTGAGAGGGATGGTGACGGGAGATGGCAGTTGAGGTTGAGGTGGATCCATTCGAGGAGCAATTAAGATATATAGAAATACGGTAGGATATATTTTGGGTGTATAAGAGTTAGGTTAAATAAAGAGAATGTAAATGGTGATGTTATGATGAGAGGGAAGGGATGAGAGAGAATCCGTGTGGTGGAAATTGTAGCTTAGATCAGAAGGGCACAATTAGAAGGATGGGGTGAGAAACAGACATATTCGACGGGTGAAAAAAAGATGTGGGAGAGTTTGAGGGTGTGGCTGAGGGAGAAAGATGGGGCGCTAATGCAGTGTGATAGAGGAAGGGTATAAATAAATTAGGAGAGGTTGGCTTACATTATAAAATGTTGTCACTGCTTCGTAATCTATATTTACAACTAACAGGTTCCAGTATTTTATTATCTAGTATAATCTAGGGTAAATAAATATTAACTGTAGTAACAAACGTAATAAAATTAATTATATTTAATTAAATTGTTTTTTTTTTTTGTGTCCTCGAAATTGAAAAAAATAATGAAACGCTGCAAAAAATTAAGTTGACCTCTTGGTGACAGATTGCTAAATCCACCCCTACACGTTTTTAGCATCAGTTTTTAAAGTAATAAATATACGCCATATAAGGCCTATTGTTAAAAGGACTTAATACTGCATATCAATATTTTGCATCCTGACAAGTGTAACAAAAGCTTGTGAAACCTGGGGCCGTCCTTAAGTTTACCGCCCCCAACTCCCCAACGTCCACAAAACAATTCAATACGCATCAAACATCTAGGGTGGAATCAAGATGATCGTTGGGAGCGAGATTCCCCTCACCGACATGTCAAATAATATAATTATACGCCAAGCTGACCTGAAAAATATATTTTCCAAATCACTAGTCTTTTTTTTTAAACGTTTAATTCAGTGATACTTCCACAACATCCTTTATTTTCTTTATTTGCTCAAAATCTAATGTCTATCGTGTCCAACTTTGGTTAAATAGTGATCGAAAACAGACTATTTAAATAATTGGTTGGTTGGAAAGGGAAAAATAGTGGGAGTGGGGGGGGGGGACGACGACTCTGAAGCAATTCTCCAGATTCCCCCAAATATTAACATTATTTTAAAAAATCTGACCCCTGACTGGCAGATTATAGTGTAATCAAAGTTTCCCCACACTTTTTAGTCTGCACTTTAAAAAAAACATACAAATGACTCCTAAATCCGCAATTTTTCTTCGTGTAACTTAACTGTAAGCCCCAGTTAGTTTAAGGTTACATGAGGACAACATTAAATACCGTTACCAAGCACAATTTCATACCAATAGCATGTTTAGTCCGAAAATAGTCGTGTCACATGATATATGAAAGTTTACTATCAAGATGGAGGAGGTCGATCGTATTATAATCCATTCTCTTCGCTCTATTGGGTGGTAAGCATCATCCTCATATGGAATTAATTAATTACATATTGCATTTTTAAAAGATTTATTTAGCCAACGTTATCAATAAATCATATTTAAATGTTATTCATAAAAATTATAGAAACTTTTTATCCCCCAAAGCCAAAAGGATTAAAAACTGACCACCGCCGCCAGCCTTCGCTAGATACTTTGGTCAAAAATGTAAACATTTTTTAAAAATAAACCAATGGCACAGTTGAATAGAGCTAATTTTAAACATAATTATAACACCAAAATCATATTTTTAGCTGTTGTAGTTTTAAAGTTATGAATTTTTAAAGTACGACTTGGTTTGTCATTTTTTAACATAGACTGCATCTCCACATTCTGTGACCTCATTCCACTGATCGCGTCATGCGCAATGACTATATAGTTTATATAAGGCAATGCATTCCCTTATCACTAAAATACTGTTTAGGGTCGACTTATTTTAAACTTTCAACTTTGGCACATGAATAATTAATAAAAGCTTTCCCTGACCAATGGTTTAATAGCTTTTGCACACGGCAAACTCTTATGAATGAAACTCTGAGATAGTACTACAACGTAGCCGTTATGCAAGTGGCTGTGAATGGTTGCCAATGACAACGTGTTGCACACGGAAAATTCTGATCATTTATATTATGGACTCTGCAGGGTTTTTAAAGCTCAAATTAAAACATTTCCAGTTTAAATGTCTTCAAAATGCATTCTGAAACACAAAATATAAAATATTTTGATGTATATAGTGGTAATAATTAAATATTTCCTAAGTATCGGCAACTTCCGCCATTAAAAAGGGGGCGTGGCCCACGCCATGTCGAAATTAGGCTGAGCCACCTTATGGTGATATGGGTCACTGTGACAAGTGTAACAAACGTGAGACACGACCTACATCAATGAAACTTGGCACAGATATAGATCAATATCTAATGCTCATACAGATTTAATAAAAAAGGACCTTATCTTATTATTTCACAAAAAATTTTGTATGCGAAGATGCCTTATATATACCAAAGATTTTCAAAATAAAGGTCCATTGAAAAAAGCAAAATAGCTGGCTAGAAATGTAGGCCAAGATGTCTTCCAAATTATAAGGCCGGAAACGGAACTCAAATATATGTGGAAAGAACTAATTTAATAATAAATAGACACACACATCGGAAAATTAAAAACTCGGATTTTTCGGCGCCGACAGCCATTTCCGATACAAAAAAAATAGTAGTCTCCCTTGTTTCATCGAAGTATCTACCTTCGCTTGTGAGCTTGGCACTTGGCTTGCTGACAGTGATTTGTTATAGTATAGCCCCAAATCTCAGTGATCAATCCTAGATAACATATCCTGATCTTTTCATTTATTTATGGTTGCCAGCTCGAAAAAAATCATGGCTGACACAGCTATCGCACCCGTGGGGTTTTCACACTGAGCAGGCGCACAACTTCCTCTAATTATGGCATGGCTTCTGATGCAGATGTTTTGTTTATTGATAATTAATAATAATTATTTAATATTTATTAAACTAGCACAGGAGTCATCAACCTGTGGCTAATGGATTGAATAAATGTGGTTATTTAAAATTGCACTATAAAAAGAGATATCATGTACTATACCTGATAACCATAAAATAATGTGACTTAAGACTCCTGCCTAAGATACTTAAACTTGTCCTCCTACCTAAGCAAAGGGGCATGACTCCATTTTTAGGCAATCCTCCGAAGTCCGGTCCCAAATTATTTCGTATGAAAAACATTGCAATGCACAGTGTGTATTGTTAGAAAACAGCAGAAATGTGAGTCATACCTTTTGCAAATAACTATCACTTTACAAACCAGGCAGTAAATACTAAATGTTGTCATTGACACATAGCATTTGCAAATAGCAGCTGACAACGTTCTGCTAGTGATTGTTGCGCCAGTGAAAGGCCCCCAAGTAGCTGGCAAACAGATCCCGACTAGCAGGCCTACCACTCTGATATGGGAGTTTACGTTTAGCTTGTATCCAAAGTCCTTCAATAGTTTCTGTGTGAATGTCCTGATCTACTGGATCAACAAATTCACGCGTCTGCACAATGACAGCGTGAACATAAATCCTGTTGTTGAGCTGACCGACATTTTGATATCCTCGCCAAGCGTCCGTGACGATAGTTGTCCCTGGTAACACATGACTAGTGATAATGCGCTCGAGTGTTTGTGCATCTCGACGACCGACAATCTCCATCCAACATTGTCCACTAACGCAAATATGAATTTCAAAACAGAATAATGCCCAAGACTTTTAAGTAAGGATTAATCATTGGAAATAATTTGGGACCGGACTTCGGAGGATTGCCCATTTTTAAATGCATATGTCATGTCTTATTTTTTTTAAATATATATAAATATATATAAAACAAGCAATGTCATTGTTATTTAAATTTGTATTACATATAAAAATGACTGAGATGATATAATCATGATAAAAATATCGTTATTAAGAGAATAACCTTTTAATTGTAATATCTCAATATCTGAATTTGACTTTGACTATGGGTCACCGTAGCCTGCTTCTATTATTATCTACTGATGTGTAAAAGTATTGATATTTATAGTTTGTTTCAGATATATCTTTAACTATAAAATCATCACTAATAATTTGTAGATTAATTTCAATAATTCTACAATGATTTGGTCGATTGTTTCATCATCTAATTTTGCTTGTCTTGTAACTAGTAAGCTCAGGGGCTTGTCCTAAATGAGCTTGGAAAGCCATGCTGAATTTTGAAGTCTCATAACTTTTTAACGAAAGAAGATAAAAACTTAAAGATTTTTCTTTTAAAAATAGCTTTCATTGCAAGTGCAACAGTAAATTTTAGGAGATGAATATATGGTACTATAGTTGCTAGGCGGCCTTAAAGTATTGTATTTAACTATTCACCTGCTATGCCATCATCAGGCTTTGTATGCAGGTGCTGATGGGAATTAGGGAAGCCAAAGCAGGCATTTATGGCAGGAGAGGGTTAAACATTGTTGCATGTTTGTGGTGGGAATAGGGTATATTGCAGTCCCTGTACTATGAATAGGTTACTGACTTAATTAATTAAGATCAAGTGAGGATATTATCCACATTTATTAATAGATCTACCACCCATATCTTTTCTTAAATAGCCATTATTCTTTTAATCCTTTTTTGTTTTGACCACTCCATTAAATCAAACTTGGGCTAGCATTATTATTACTAATATTTGCGATATTCTGGTGGTAACACATGTTCAGTGATAAAAGTATTACCATATTGTGCCTGTATATTATCAGCAGACAATATACAATGACCTTTAACTTTGTTGTCTAGTGAGTACCACGTGGTCACAGAAATCTCTTTTTTTTTTTTTAGATCGGGACATTTACCCAGCGAAAAATTGCTGTAGCAATAATCCACAGTGTGAACATACCTTTACAGAATTTACAGGAACTGCATAGACTAGACTAGAGTTGGCTCAGATTGATATTTTTTGTCCAGGGATTTAAAAAAAAATTATTTAAGACAATTTTATGATGTTGTAACATCTGAAGTCTGAGAAGACAACTCAATCAGATTTTATTTTTTACCAGGAATATGTGCAGATGATATTGTATCTTTCATAAATAGATTTTTAACCTAGGCCAGAGGTTTCAATTATTTACAAGTAATAGTTCCTCAAATCTATGCTCGTGATGTTTGCATGCCCCAAAAAATAGGGGGTAGCAGTAAATTTGATAAAGAAAATATATAGTTTTTACTATTATTTTTTATTTCACTTTTTAAAAAAACAAATACCAGTTAATGAAATTATTACACCAAATAGCAATAGATGCTGTCAACCCATCAGTGAGTCTTCACCCAATGCCAATAGCCCAACATTTCTTTTAATTCGCCAATGTAAAAAAAATGCACGTGTACAGCATGCCTGCCCCTATTTTGTTCTGATTTTTAAAAAAAATTTAATACAAATTACCGGTACTGGTATTGATCTCAAATATTAACTAAAAATCAAAGATTTATTTAAAGACAACCATGTCAAGAGCACCTATATTTCCACTTGCATTTCTTCTTTTGCTCTCCAATTAAGTGTAAAATGATGCAAAACTAAATTTAGACATGGGTCACAATGCATCACAGCATTTTGAATTTATAAAAAAATTTATTGTGTCAAATAAAGTAAAAATAGATCTAACTTTAAGTGAAAGAGAATTTTTTTATGTGTGCCAATACCTTTAGGTTTATTGGCCTGTTATTTTTTTTACATAGACTGGTTACTGTCTTAAAAATTAAAAACCATAATGGTAAAATTTGACAATATTTGAATATTTTCAGTGATTTGGAAGATGATGTTCAAAGTTTGCGTCAGTTCGGAACTGAAATTATCATTGCTTCAGTGGTGCAATGTCTCAAAGTCATCATTGGGGATATTGATCTACCATCTACTCTCCCTCCAGGAATGTCAGCCAGATTCAGACTTGGCGCTAGTCTTGCCAACAATGTGCAGGTGATTTCCTTTCTAGCCTGCAGATACAAAGACACCAACTCAAAAGTGCAAAGAAGCTTGATTAAAGAGAAAGCAAAGTGAAAAACACTTTGACTTAAAAGCCTTCTTCAGCATGTAAAACAAATCTTTTCTAATTCTACATAATATGCTACTGACGTATGAAAGACATTTTTATATTAGATTAAAACCAGCCAGTGTTGTTGCATGCTGAGTGCAAAAATTAAAATATCTTCACCAAATTGCACTAAAATATGTTCCTTTTTTTCCATACTTGAAAAAGAATTGATTCCCCTCAGATCAATAATGAGTTCTAGCTAAGCATAGCAGCCAGTGCGAGGGGAGTGCAGTTTCCTAATATTTATAAATACTTTTATCATAAAATCTTGATTAAAATATGCAAATAAATGGTCAAACAAAATATGTTTAGGCTTGAAAAAACTATAACAATTAAATTGACTTTTGCCTTCTTCAGCAGACAATACAAAACAAGAAACAAAAAATTATTTGAAATTAAAAACTTAAATGTTCCCAGATCATTATGTAGCTCTCAGTCTCTTTGTAGAAACAAAGGTGCACTATAAAAACAGAACTTGTTCAAAATCAAAACGTGCTTCTCACATAATTCTTTGGTGCATACTGCATAGGTAAAAGAATTTTAAGTATTATTAATGTAAAAGTAATATTTTAAACTGTAAAAAATTAGAATAGAAATGGAGACGAATTGAGGACAACTAGTTAGAGAGTATTTGATTGATTACATATGTCGATATGGTGCCGAAAATCTGAATTAATTTGTTTTTATTCTTCACTCTTGTTGGTGTATTATTAAAAGGAATTAAATCAGACGTGCCTCTGTGTTCACCTCTGTTGAATTGGATGAGACTGGGGATGGCTTCTTTTTTTTGAATATCTCAAAGATGTTCACTGAACATATCAGATTTCCTTTTTCCCATCTCACCTATGGGACAGAAGCGGCATCTTCAGCAAACAATCATATAAATCACATCACGGCTGATACATTCAATCCTGTACTTAAATATATTTGATTTTGGGGCCAATTAAATAAAATAACATAGTCACATACTGTGGAAGTATATATTGTTTCATTTTAAAATGAAGATAGTGGCCATTATTTATACTCCAGTTTGTTGCTTTTTTTTTTTGATCCCTCATTAATATTTAATTTTAAAAAATACTAAAGCTAAACATCTAAATTATTAATCATTTTGTTAATTATTGATTTTGCCTCATTTATTATCATTGAAGAACATGTATATTGATTGTATATTTGTCTAATAATTACTAATAGTATACAGTATGCAATCATATTCTTTATTTTGGAGAACAAAAAAAGTCTACCTTAAAATGTTAAACTGTAAATTAAAATCAATTTATTTTAATTTTAGGATTTGGGATACAAGGGAGGAGACTTGGGCTATCAAACTTTTCTGTACTCCAATGAAACAGAAATCAGAAAGATTTTTATGTTTTTGGTTGAAAAACTTCCTAAAGAGTCTTCCCAAGCAGCAGACGAGCCTATGGGTAAGTTTAGCACTCAGTGTGTCCAATAGAAGCTGTTTGCTTTTTCTATCAGAAATCTTCCAAAAACATTGTCTCATTACGTCCTTAAATTTTTAATATTTCCTGTAAATATTTTAAAGTGTAAGCATTTGAATGTTCATAACATATAAGGGTAAATACAATTAGGGGTTTATTTTTATTTAGATTTTTATTTAGATTTTACTGCTCATTAAATATTATAGGCTACACATATGTTATGTCAAAGTCTAACTTTATAGTTTTTTCATATTAAAATGTGTTCATTTATATAATATAATATATTCTCAGGAGCCTCAGTTCTTCTTCTAAGAGCGATATCAACAGAACTGAGTCATCAGCTTTCTCTGGCATGGTCTCCACCATTTTTAAAAGACAGAGGCATTCGAATACGCTCTAAAGCCCCAGGTTGGCAACGAGAGGTAGGCTAATGCAGAAATATTTTGATTTTCATAATCTGCTGGGATTCTCTACTTTTCTATGATAACAATATTTTAATAAACTCAAAAGTATGGTTTTTTTTGTTGTTTTTTTTAATATACATATAGCAAGTAACAAGTGGGGAAATCCTCAAAACTGAGTGGTTTCTGTTTATTTTTTAATATTATTTTTTTTAATTTGAGATTTACAAATGCAATAAATCTGTTGTAAAACTTGCTTGATTTTGAAAACCTACACATAAACCTTCCTGTCCACTGCTAAGAATGAATCTTGATTTAAAGCATCAGAATATTCAGCTGGCAATAAAATCCTCTTTTCAGGGAGCCTGCTGCCTTCAACATTATCGCAGCTGTCACATCTCTACTCCACACTCTTTAGGAAATATCTCTACTAAAATTCCAAAAGGTATTTTCTTAAAACACCATTGTCATGGACAATTAATAAACACTAATTAAACTGAGGCTGATCATTTTTATCTGTCTCTAATTTACTTATCTTTTTCATTTAATTACTTAGGTGTTAGCATTAATAAGAAGCTAAGCTGGCATGAGCACTGCCAAATGCTGTGTAAGAAATTCAATCAAAGACTGTTTTACCTCAAAAAACTGTACAATTTTGGTGTAAACAAACAAGTCGTTAACTTATTCTACAGTGCAACAATTGGAAGCCTACTTAATTTCAGTATTATTGTCTGGTGCTGGTATTCATCGTCTGATATTGAACACTGAATAAACGGACTAATCAAGAAAGCTAGGAACATAACACAACTAAACATCCTTCATTCGAAGAACTATTTGAAGAAAGATGTTGTTGTAAAACTAAACGAATTTTGGATGATACATCCCATCCTCTTCATCATAGATAGTTCGGATCGACCCGTTCGGGATGAATTCTTTCTCTCAGGGCGAGGACTGAAAGATATAAAAATTCTTTTGTTCCCCAATCTGTACCAATTTACCAGCGTACTCCCCATTAAGTCACACATCTTAATGAGAACTAATAAGTCCCTGATATGGCTAAGAAAATCACTGAATGGCTGTTTTTTTCACTAGTGAAATAATTAATGTAGATGTCATGTGTTCAAATTGTTTTATTTATGTGCTGAAAAATTCAGAAAATGCACAATGCAATAAAAAAAACATTTCCATTTGTTTGGATCAAAAAAAGAATCTTATCTTATCTTATAAACATTTTATATTTTTCTCCGCCTAAGACTGAGAATTTTAAATAGGGATAATCTTGGAATAAAATAAAAACATTATTTTTTTTTTCCCCATGATCATTTGAATTCAGAGCTCAGTTCTTATTACAAGACACATATGCCTTTTGTTACGAATCAAACCCAGCTACACAGAGACACAGCACCCTCCATTATGGAAACCAATGCTTTAGAAATCGCTACACAACAGGACTGGGAAAATGAATGGAACCAAATCGGACTTGCTTCCAGATTATCACAGCAGGTTGGCAACTGATAAAAACTATTTATAGTATCCATGAATTATATAATTATACAGTGTAAAGAAACAAGAGCTTCTGCGTGGCATTGAACAGATTTTTTTTTTGTGCGAAATCAAGTTTACTTTTTTTTATTCACCTTCATTAATGTTATATTGAAAAATTAAAAAGATCCAGTCAATATTACATTATGATTATGACATTTAAATATGACAATTAACTGTGAGCGTGCAGTATTCCAAAATAGAAATGGAAACAGCTACAAAAAAAAACTCAGTCTCATTATTTCAACATTACAAAAACAGTAGTAATTAAGCAGTTAAACCTAAAAACAATTTGATTTTTGTTTCAAAGCCTGTGGCAAATAATTTTGTTTGGTTAACATTCTTTTGAATCCTGATGCTTTTAAGTCTTGTAAATCTTATACATACCACTCTATCAGTGTCATAAATTATAACCAGCTTGTTTTAATTGTATTATGAATGTATGATTTTCTTCTGAATGTGTGTTACATTACTTACCTTATATTTAGGAGTTTAAGAGACGAAAACAGGAGAGATTACTAAAAATGATAAAAGATCGGCTACAGCAGGATAGTCAGCGACAAGATAGAGGGGAAGGTCATGCTGCATCCAGCGACCTGCAGCAAATTCTCAATACTATTGAAACGCAGAGCAAAGCAGGAGTTATCAAGACAAAAGGTTCTCGGTTCGCTCACACTGAGAAATTACAATATGCTAAGGTGATTTAGATATTGGTCTATTTATGAGCTCACTTTTATTAAGTTGAGAATATCCAAATTGAAATATCATACCTTAAACTTACATCAATTATTTGCTGTCAATATATGAGTGCATACCTCAATATGTTATAATTTTTATAGGACGAAGAAAAAACTATGTCGCAAGTGGGTCTAGCAGTCCCTGCAAAAGACACAGAAGAGGTACTGTTTTTTTTCTAAATTCATTTTTTAACAATGATAGTAATAATCTTTATGAATTCAAGCATTTTTAGCAATAATCTTTATTGCAAAAATCTTATACTTCCTTAGTGTTTCAAATTGCATGGTTCATTATGCGAATTCAATGACAATGAAGTATAAAACAAGAATAATAATTGATTTTTAAAGCTCATTAGTCAATCTGCATTTCAAAGGAACTTGAAAAGAAGAGACAGGAAGAGATTGAGGGTTTGCGATCAGAGCTTCTAAATTTGACTGCTCAACTTGAAAAGCTAGACATAGAAGTGAAGAAATTTTCAGCCAACAGACAGCAGATGGAAGAAGTCATTTCCACTGAAGCTAAGAACTCTGAAGAAAAGAATGCCTCTTATCTTGTGAAAAAGAGAACACTGGACTTGCTGCCTGAAGCAGAGGCTAATATTGGAAAGCTACAGGTAATGAGTGATTTTGGTATGGCACTGATCATCAGAAACCAGTATTTAAACTTATCTCAGCAAAGTTAGCAACATGTTCTCTAATATTTAATACTGCTTACAAAAAATTATGTTACACATTATTGTTAATAATAAAAAAGTAAATTCAAATCTGTTCATTCAATCTTTAACTATCTTATACAGTAAACTACACTAATTATTGGAGCTTTTTATTAATTTAATTGCATGTTAATTAAATTTAGAATTTTAACCTAATTATAAAACGTATAAATTCGTTTAACTCTCAAAAGACGAGAGATTGAAAAATCTGTCATATATGGCGGGTGAAAAAAACGACCCCTAAAATATATATAAAAATAATATTAAAAGGCGAAAATAAAGATTTACTATTTTGGAATGTTAAATTTCTCTTTGGCAATAAAGAAAAATCGTTTATACGACTAGTTCTTGAAGAAATCTGGTAGCAGCATGTCCATTTATAAATTTTCCTTTTCGCCATTTACTCATATTTTGCTACAATTCCGGTTCACTGTTACTACACACTAAAACATTGCTAAAACATTGCTTCTTATTAAAAGCTTGAAATGGACAATTATTCTTACTTAGAGGAATATTTTTGATGAAGATAGCACTTCAGATGTGTCTGATATCGAGAATTCTGTAAATTATCATCATAATAATAGTAACAAGGTTTGTTTACTTTTTTCATTCATACTCAAAACACGCATACTGTGATACTTTCTTAGCACTATTATTAGCCCTAACATTAGTTTTATTCAAATTCCAGTAGTATCAAATACTTAAATAGATTAAATTATTTATTTGTTTTAATTGAAACTAATTTGTAGTTATAAAATTATGTTAATATTATTACGTTTCAGTTATCAAAATGTAAACAATGCCATACAAGGCCAAGGCTATTATGTAACAATCAGCTGTGTTCCCTTTTCAATGAAAAGTTGAAGTAAAAGTAATTTAGTCAGATTGTTGAATATTTATAAATCGTTTTATTTATATTGTTATTTTTTTTAATTTAGCTTAACTAAAATTTTGTTTGTTTTTATATTTTGACAGCATCTATGAAGGGCAGATGTCAAACATAGTCAATACAATGGGTTATGATGACAAAAGACTGTGGGACTCTTTGCTGCATTTAGACCAGAGGTACAAAGCATTATTGCTTCCTGATGTTAAAACAAGAGAGGATATAAAGAGAATTCAAAAGCAAATAGACATTTTTAATCTCTACTTTACTACAGATTTGTTTGGTTATTAGTAATCAGTGTGCGCAGGACAATGGGCCGCAGAAATTTTGTGTTTTCAAAAATTGGTACCATTATAACATCATTGAAGGGAAGTTTAAGCTACTAAGTGGATTTATTATGAATGCAGGACTTATCAAGCTCTTAATTTTACAAGAAATGTCCAGGATATCCTTTTATGATGGACAATGAGCAAGGCCATTAGTACTAAGGACATATCGGTATTCAAGGCTATATTGAGTTTCCTAAAAGTTTCTGATACTGAAAATAAAGGAAAATGCTGTGCAAAATTGGGAGACCCTTATGTATCTCCACGCAAAATACAATGAACTGTATCAGCATCAAGAAAATGTAGCAATTAATGAACAATTTAGGGAACAAATGACATCTTTGATGTTGGACCCGTTACTGTAAAGCCCGAAATCTTTACATCGTGCGCCGTGACATGACAATAACAAAAAATGTAATTGTGTGTTACCAAAACAGGGTAAAATGGTCAGAGCATATGTCACAGGCTTTATTTTTGATACATTTGTTATGTTTTAATAAATAAAGAAATTGTTTTCAAGAATTTTATATGTATGGTCTTGGCGAAGGATTACATCATTTGATCAGTATCTCGGGGATGCATAAAAAAGGTTTATTTATTAAAATGTGCTTTTTTTTAATTAACTTTTCTTCTAAAATAATACTTAATAATAATCCTCTAAGGCAGCGGTTCTCAACCTGTGGGTCGCGACCCCTTTGGGGGTCCTGGGACCCTTTTCCAGGGGTCTCCTAAGACCGTCTGAAAACATATCCTTACACCTATGACGTTACAACGAAAATAATTGTGTGGCTGGGGTTCGCCACGACACGAGAAACTGTGTTAAAGGGTCGTGGCACTAAAAAGGTTGAGAACCACTGCTCTAAGGGGTAATATGATGCAGTATATGTTTTCCTTTGAAAAAAAATTAATTATTATTTTTTGAAAATAATTTTGACTTTTTCTTGCAATATTTCCTTGAATGATATGTTGCCTAAAAAAAGTCATAACTTTTTTATTTATGAGTCTATTCTTTTGAAATTTGAATATGTTTTGCAGTATTGAACAGATTCTAATAAAATATCAATTTTATTGATATATTTGGACACACTTTTTTTTTCCTTAATTGTAAAAATGTTATGTTATGTTTTTGTCGACTTAAAAATATTTTTTTTTGCCCAAAATTAATAAAAAATCAAATTTAGCAAGGATATTTTGAACAAACACCAAATATCAATTAAAGAGCATCCAATTACCTTTAAAATTATATATAATACTTGTAGTTAGCTACAAAATTACAGCCATGAGACTCAGTGAAGAATAAGATATATTCAAGGTCATTAAAAATTGTAAAAATTTAGTCTTTTGAGAGTTAAACCACTTTTTCAGTCCGTTGTTGACACAAGTGCACAGCGTCTACTTAACCTTGCCAAGCAATGGGAGACACACAGGATTCCACTTATAGAACAGTACAGAGAGTTAAGACAACTAAACTCTAAAAGAGAGGTAATTTTTATAAATATATTTAAAAGACTATCCTTTCGTTTTAAAAAGTTTCAGAAGATTATTTTGGCATCTGACATAAATGAAAAAAAATTATAAACAATTTGTAGTATGTTTTTTAAACTAGGTAATAATATTTTTTTAATTCTTATTTTCTTGGTCATTTGAAGAAAAACATAATATGTTTCTAGGATATTACCATAAGCTTAATAGTTTATTTCAAATTTGCTTTTTTTCTTTTCTTTCAGTCTGAAGCTCAGAAGAAGCTAGAAGAAATTAAACTATTTAGAGTAAAAATGAAAGAGACGGCTGATGATGCCAGACGCAAAGATGAGCTGCAAAAACAATTAGTAAGTGTACTTTGCCTTGTTTTTACATTTTTATTACTTATTATCAAACTTTTATGTTGCAAATTTGAACATTAAAAATTTTGAATGCAATTTCCTCTTTTGAAATTATATATTCATAAAATGTTTCACATCACAGGTATCAGAATATGAGCGAATGACAAAAGATGTAAACAGATCAGCTTACACAAGGAAAATTTTGGAAATTGTCGCCAACATTAAAAAACAGAAACAAGAAATTGATAAGGTTAGTTTTTTTCTCTAAAGTAAATTACAAGGGTGTTTGTGAAGCTTGATGGGAAAGAAATAATTACAGCCATTAGGTAAAAATTCATAGCACCACCAGCATTGCCACTGAAATTAAGGTCGGTGAGGAAAGATTAGAGACAGTAGGCAGCTTCAAGTACCTAAGAGCAATAGTCTCGGAAGAAGGCTCCAAGCCCGAATTGATGTCCAGGATTGCCCAGACAACAGCACTAAAGAGGCTTAAGAAAATATGGAACGACAAAAATGTAGCCCCCGTACCAAAATCAGGCTGATGTGCTCATTAATCCTCTCCATTTTCTTGTATGCCTGTGAGTCCTGGACATTAACAGCAGAACTTGAAAGAAAAATAAAGGCGATGGAGATGAGATGTTTCAGAAGCATTCTTGGCATCTGCCATAGAGACCATAATCTCCAATGAACAAGTGAAAGAAAGGATTCGTCAAGCAATTGGGCAGTATGATGATCTCCTGGTGACTGTGAAAAAGCGCAAACTGGAATGCTATGGCCACGTGACAAGAAAACATGGGCTTGCCAAAGAAATCATGCAGGGCACAACGAGAGGAGGGAGAAGAAGAGGAAAACAGAGAAAAAGATAGGAAGATAATATCAAAGAGTGGGCGGGACTAAAACTAGGCGATGCTGTGCGAATTGCAGAAAACAGAGAGGAATGGAGAAGGATAGTTTTCATGTCATCTGTGGCGCCCCAACGGTCAAAGGACTAAGGGACACGATGATGATGATGAGGTAAAATTCACAATTTTATCAGCTGAGATTCCAGATGAGAATGCAGCCTAGACAAGAAATAAAACTACCATTTTCGTTCTGTGCAAGCTACAGTGATTAATTATCTAAATTGGTAGTGTTCATAATTAATAATACATGTCTTGTTTTCAGTGTTTATCAGTACCTGGCCCCTACAGTTTTAACATTATTTTTTGCGTTTGTTTCGTAAATAAATATTTCACACAATGTGTGCTTCATATTGCTGTGGAGAATTAATATAACTTTATATGATTTTCAGATATTACTGGACACAAAGAGTGTGCAGAAAGAGATAAATTCTTTGTCAGGGAAATTGGACCGGACCTTTACTGTAACAGATGAGCTAATTTTCAAAGTAAGCCAAAATTATTCAGCTACATTTAAAAAGATTAAAGTTACAACTATGGTTGTTAAAAGTGCTTTGATATACAGCAATATATAATTTAATGAAAATGTCAACTGAACTATCTTATTTCTTCAAGTGTAATAGTGCATGGTTTTACAAGAAGCCACAAATTTTAACATCAATAATAAAAAATATCCTCTTCTTGAAATGTTTTTTCTCAGGATGCTAAAAAAGATGAGGCAGTGAAAAAAGCTTATAGATTTTTAGCAGCACTTCATGAGGTGAGCAAATTGTGTCATTGTGGAGCAGGTGTCAATTTACATCAGCTTTTTTTTTCCTAGAGGATATTTTTATGCTGTAAGGGTGATGTTTTAGATTTATTATTTTAAATTTGAAATTTAAAACATTCTGTCATCAGAATTTTGAGCAACTTATACAAACAGTTGAAGATACAGGAGTTGTGATGAGAGAAATAAAGGATTTAGAGGAACAGGTATGTAACAGGCCTTGAATTTCCATTAGAATATTCTCAAATTTAGATGCAACATTAAAACTGTGTAAAAATACAATTGACTTTTATCCTCATAATGTGTGAGTATGCTTTTGATTAATTTCAAATTAATGCCAAGGCACAATCTAAGCCTAGTGCAGTCTCCACACCATAAAAAAAAATATAATGCTTGTTGTCCTTTTGTGTTTACACTGATGACCCATCACAACAAAAGAAACGAAAATCCACCCACGAAAAAAGAGACAAGCAAACATATATCTTGTCTAGAGACTTGCCAGTACAAATTTGAAAATATCCTACAAAAACCATCTAGATTTATAACTACCACCTGGGTAGCATCTGTTATCACAAACGTGGATTAATCAGTCAAAAAAAGTGGATGATGATTAATCTACATAATGGCCTATACTATTACCTTAGCATAAATACTGATTATCAAAAATTAATTAGTTCAACCCAGCTCTATAGTATTGTTTAATTTATATTGATTTGCTTATATAAAAGTCTTATCATCACAGATACATAAACAGTTTAAATCATAATGCTTAACATTTTATTTTATACACAGATTGAAGTGGAGAGCAACAAAAAAGTATTAAGCAATTTGGAAAAGATAACAGAAGACTTGCAACAGATGAAGAAAGAAAATGCAACTTTGATTGCCAAAGTTAAAGGAAAATGATAATTAATATATTTTTACTTCATGCGCCTGATATACTTAAAAAACATAAATATGAAAGCTGCAGTTCTGCTTGAATTAACTTGGTTAATGTTTGTTATCTGTCATGCGAAAAAAATTTAATATCTTTAATAAAATTCTAAAAATCCTAAGGAAATATACCTTTACAATATTTATTTTACTAGGAAATAAAATTGAAAGTCCCCCACCCCCTCCCCTCCCCCAAATGAAAGGTATGTATTTGTTAGCTTCCTAAATTTGAGCTTCATACTTTCTCCAAATGCAAAATGAATGCAGGAAGGATTGATTTTTTGACAACTTTTACTATGATATTACAAGATTTTCTCATTAACTGATTATTTCTTGTGTGATACAAAATAGGTGTTAGCAGATAAGGGAGAGTTCAAAATTGTCAACCTCATTGTGCATTATGAAAGACTTTTATTTGATATTTTAAAAATCACATATGTACCTGTCAATGAATATGTTTAAAAACACATTATAAGCTTATAATTATTCCCACATTTAGTCCTTATATATTGTCCCAAATTCTCATTTTCATGCCACTGTCATGCAAGTGTCCCTAACTCCTTCTTGCTATCAGTATATCATAACACTAATATTCTTTATCTCCCTGTCAGCTGTTGATTTATTCGGATAAATTATCTCAAGGTGGATGTCCCAGTACTTGTTCATTAGTGCAATACACTTTTGTTGAAAAGTATCATTATTTTTGTTAAATGTTAACTGCATTTCATTGCAGGATAGTTTAATGCATCGAATCAATGTTTTCTTTTTGTCTTGTCTCTTCCATTAATGAGAACAAATCTTTCAGTAACTTAATTTATTTCATATTATAAACCGTGTACTTTTAAAATGCTCATAATAATAATGGCATGAATCATAAAAAGGTTTCTAAGGTTAAATGAAGGCAAAGTAAGTATTCCGAATGTATATCTTTGGATTGAAATGTGTTTGAGTAATTGAACAGCAATCAGTTTACAGTTATTCTTATCTGTCCACCATTGACAGTCTGAATTTGCTATGCACTGGCACCTCTAAGTAATTTAGTCACATTTAAAGGTGGGTTCCATATGTAATGGCTGTCAATTATATGTTTTTGTTTGTCTTCCATTTTTAAAGAAATGAATATTTAAAACAAGGTGCTCTACACAACATTGCTATAAAGATTGTGACACTCAGAATTAAAAGTTAATTACATTTTTTTGTTTTTTTTCACTGTTAGGTAGGTCATGATTAAATTATGTAATGACCAATGGACCATTCCTATGGAATAAAAATATTGATGAGATTTAGTAGGGTTTCTTTTTATAAGTTTTTTGTGTGCTTTAAAAAATAATATTAAAGTGTTATTAATGTTTATGTGTTGCTTTTGTTTTTTGTTTGTTATTGGTGGCATTTAAACATAATATTTATTTCAGATATTTGAATGAATGACCTCATTACGATTCCTTTCACACTGAGTAAGTGGGGAATTCATCCCCTAAAAACGTTTTTAGTAAAAATCCTTTATAAAATGTAATATCCAGCTGTGGGGTGGTAGGGCTGAAAATTTGACGAAACATGCATTCAAGTTACGCACTTTATAAGAATCTCAATAAGTGACCCCCCAAGGTTCGCAACTCCACATTTTTTTCATGCCCTGAACTATATTAATATTCTAATGACCCACTCACTTTCAGAAAAACAAAAGATAATATCTAACGCACTAGTTAGACTTACAATTTTTTAAAGAGTCTCATTTAGAGCAGTTGTCTGGATTTTATTTTGTGAAACCATATTTCCATCATCTTCTCCTTGAAAAGCATGAAAAACTGATTTTTGGGGGGTAGGGCTGAAAATTTTATAGAATGTGTGGTCGGCAGCGAGTCTATTGCAGCTCGATAGGTTGATGGGAAGTGGGTCAATTAGCTGTCCGAAGATTTTGCCAGCCACAAACAAAAGCGAAGTTTATTTAAAGAATTTAAAAGACAGTAGGTATCGTGTCAAATTCCCTTACAAACATATAGTTCTACAGAATATAACTAACACTATAAATCAATTGCCATCATAAGTTATAAGTCATTACGATTAGTCTCAGTGCTACAATGGAATCTTTTGAAAAATGTATTATTAATCATAAATGTATTTTAATTCACAGCTTACGCCGCTGATAGCTTTGGCAGGGCTAGGGGATGGAAAGGGATGTGTGAAGAATCGTTTGTGACATTAAGACCCTTCGCAGCATTGCTTGGCTCATACTATAAGATAATGATGTTCGTTTTAGAAGATGAACTTTGAATATTGAATATGATAATAAATATTCCAATCCACTAGTTTCATAATAATAATAAATAAAACAGAGTTATCATCCCCTACTTCCGTTTATTTCATGCGGATTGAATATAACATATTTTTTAAACTTAAATTTAGAACGAAACATAAAAGAAAACAAAGAATGTTTAAAAAGTGAGTAATTTTTTAACTTTATATTTCAATGGTGAAGCGTACTCAGCTAGTGGTGTCCTGATTTCCTGTGGCGCCCCTAATTTTGACCCAAGCCCCAACAAAGTTCCTACTCCGTTACTGGTCTCTGTCTCAGCTGAAGCTGTGTCAGTCAGTGTCAGTTTCTTACAACTTACTGTTACTCACTCAGTCACTGAGTAACTCTAGTCTCGTAGTTAGTAACTTGTAAATGAAGTAACTGTTACTGTAGGTACATGACCTGGAAAGTAGATGATTTAAGAACGAGTCGACTAGGCACTACGACTAGGCATAACTAAACTGACATGATACTGAATACTGGGTATAGGTAGTTCGGTGAGATTCGGGAAGTGCCGAAAACCGGGTATCGTGATTTCGTTGTCAAAATGGCGACCTCCACTTTTTAATTTACCGAGAGTCACGTTGTTTACGACTTTTTAACTATATATAGCCCAGCATGTTAATTCTATTTCCGCCCACAACTTATAGTAGACATGTTGTGTTATGATTAGACACTTGAGTCCCCCCAAAAATTTTGGGGCTTCACTTTGAAAATTGAAGGTAAAATAACGCAATTTTTACTCATTCATATTTTTTTTGTGGAAAAGGACCTTTCATAGAATTTCAAGGACTTTATAAATAATGGCATTAACTACAACATATCCAAGACCTGTTAATTTAGGACCATCAGTTTGGTCAGAAATTTCATGGGAAATTTTAGTCACGTGTGTCCCAAAATTACCTATTATCGTTAATATTCGTTGCTATGGTAAATAACCTGATTTACTCTGGAAATCCAGACTATTACCCCCTAATAACTTATTTAGAAATAAAAATAAAATAATTAATAAAACAAACACATATTTTTAATATGATTTGATGCTTTTATTGAGGGATATTAGGTTAAAAAAGCCTAATTAATTACAATTAATAGTTAACTATTAGTTTTATATACTGTTGTTATATGTATACTATTAACTATATATATACATATAATATATATACATATATAATTATATATATGTGTGTATGTATATATAGAGGCCTAGAATAGTATTACTATTATAAGTGTAGGCCTATCCACCTCCCCCCTCCCCACCAAATAGTTTTTTGTAGGACCCATTATTCATATGTAATGATATATATGGTGATTCTTAAGGCATAAATTAAGTAAAAGTGTACAAAAAATATTCACTTACCTTTGGTATTGAAATATCCTATATTATATTTAATCACATATCACACTATTCCAAAAGAGAATTATCAGTATTCTCAAAGAAAAAAACACACTTTCTACCACAAAAATCCAAGAATTACATGAGATATTACTAAAATTTAATAATAAAACATTGTAATTACCTCAAGCAAATAACTAGAACTTATTTAAAATTCTATCAACAGCTAAAGTTGATTCTAATAATAAATGTTGATCTGTGAAACAACTGTACTAACTTAAAATAAATGACATACTATTTTTTGTCATATTCACACATTCATATGGTATGGGACTAAAATACATTATATAGAAAATGGTAAAATAAAAAGTTTAATTGTCAATTTTAACTTATTGAAACAAATAATCCCTTTATTATTAGTATATACTTATAAATTTTAAACAATTCCACAGAAAATTTGAAATTAATATCTTAAGAATATTTTATTATTATTATGAATTTTGGGAAATTGAAAAAAAATATTTATACATAATTAATTAATTAATTACGAATAAGTGACGAGTCAGCATATTTTATATATTTTTAATAGGAAAATAATAAAGATTTTTAAAATAATTTTTGCGGAATATTAACAAAAACTAACTTATATTTTGTGGTTTTATTTAGAAGTACTCTAATTAAAATATGTTCCCTGTAAATATTATATTTTTGTGTCATTTTATAATAAAGTTATAGGCCTTAAAAAAAAATCAAAATGAGGGTCACGAGATGTGGAGGAAAATCCCATAGTAAAAAAGGGCCTTTGAGGTCCCTACTAAAAAATTCATAACTTTTGAACCACTTGAGCTAGAAAGTTGATCTTGGTGTTTTTGTAATCTATTCTCCAGGCTCTATACAGCTGTAGTGTTTTTATATTTTTAAAAATGTTTTGAAATTTTAATCAAAGTGCCTACTGGGTACAATACTGAGATATTAGAATTAAATATTAATTAATAATTACAGCAAACCTGTTTTGTAAATTTATGTGCCACTTATTTCCTTCGGCCGCCATCTTGGTTGTCATGGCAGCACGTGTCATGGCAATCAAGATGGTGGCCATAAAAGAAGAAAAAAGAGTGCACAAACACATCGGCTTAAATGGGGAGGGGAAAGAGAGAATGTGCTGTTTTAGCTACTTACCTTACTCAGCTTTACTGAGATAAACGAAAATAGGAACAAAAACATTAAAATTTAATGGTTGTCCCCATGCCTGGTGTAATTTCAGCCGGTATATTAATTTTATTGCGAACTTAACATAGCAACTTTATTGTATCAGTTTAGATATGCTGCAAGAAGTGTCAATGAACTGCAGTTGCTCTCTTTTTTCAACTAATATGTGTGTGCTACAGTTGCACACTGTGGTGAGAAAAGTGTAAAAATGAAGAAAAACTATACAAAATAATTTTAAAATAATGAAATGTAACTTACAGTTTCATACAATACACTTTTACACACTATTTTGCACATTCCACCCTTCCGTGGAGAACGTGGTAACTTTTTTTGTATCCCTCTAGATATGCGTCAAGTGTCAACATCCTGCAGTCACTCCCTCCCCCAACTAAAAAAAGTGTTCTGCAAAATTTAGCCTCATTTTAAATATCGTTTTAAATATTATAATTAACCACCCAATGAAATATTAATTTAAAACATTCCATCGGCATATTTATATTTAAAGGAAGAATAGTTAACTCTAGTTACAATCCAAGAATAAACTAAAGGGAGAAAATCCTACATAGAAACTCAAAGTGGCGCGCCAAAGTAAAATTACCCTATATTTTAATCATTCCTTTAATATAACGCCTTTAAATATTCAATAAATTTCAGATTAATTGATAAAATGTCTTTTTGGTGAATTGGACAATGTACACATGAAGTTTCGCTACAGAGTTTCTCATGAGTGACCTTCCCCTTGTTTAGTCGCATATTGTTACTGGAGTTAACTATTCTTTTTTTTATTTTAATATGCCAATGGAATGTTTTTGATTGGTGGCTTTTTAAAATTAATATTAAATATTTAATTATAATATTAATAATTCAATAAGACGCCATTTTGACAGGGTCATTGTCTGATCATATTTTAAGTGGATTTGGACTCTTTTAACATCTTTTAGATTTTTAACGGGTGTAAAAGTGTATTTGATGAAACTTTAAGTTGGTTTTTCATTATTTTGAATATTTTAAAATAATTTTAATTGCAAATTTACAATTTTCTCAGTAGTGTGAAAAGTCGCAAACAAACTCATAAGCACACAGTGTTCGGGTTCACATTAGGTCAAAGATTTTAGGTTTTAAGATTTACATTCTGCTTAGGAAGGACTAAATTTACGCTTAAGTTAGGGGAACCTAATTTAGGGGAGAATTTACGCTTGAGTTTGAGATACTGAAATGCATTCAGATTAGTTAAATTTTAGATTTCAAGGTTTTTCACACAAAAATTAATTTGCATGATTTTGTGTTAATTTTTTTAAGTTTTCCATTTAAAATGTGTTTATTTTTAAGCAGGTGTTTTTTTTTTGCACTACACATGGCCGTCATGGCAACAAAGACGGCGGTCACGTGAAAAAAAAGCAGTGCAAAAACATGGTAGAACATGGGGAAACATCAAGAATACAATTACTGTCAAATTTAATGATTATTTTTTTTAGCATATTATTCAAATTAATTAGGTCTCACTATTTTGACCTTCTTTACCTTCTCTTCCCCTCTCTCATCCGAAATAATCAACAAATTCATACAATTAAACACTTTGTCAAAACATGGTAATCATCACATGTGACATAGACACCATCAATATATTATTAGTAACTTTAAAAATTCAAAGTTTCATTACCCCCCTCTCTCCCCCCCCCCCCCCCCCCCCCCCCCCCCCCCGCCCCCACAGCTGTTGGGGCTTGTGAAGGGGCCATCCACCCTGGCAGCCAAACCTTAAGAGGGCACCAAAGTCATCATTTTTCATGCAAAACATGTGTACTATATTTACTATTATATATTTTGTTTTGGATAACGTAGCTTTCTGTCTGTTAAACCAGAATGATTTTGTAGCAGTGTTTAGTTTTTTTTTGTTTTTTGGTGGGTTGCCAGCTCAATGCAGAAACCATACAAACAAGTATGTAGTCATTGAACCTGTTAGCCTGGCCTCTTCCTATTATGCCCCTCCACCACATCAAGGTAGGTTCTTGGAAGGGAAATTGTATAATTAGAAAATACTAATTCAGACCTGTTTACTCTTACGATTTTGGAGTACAATTAACGATTTTGAGATGTCTTTTACGATTGTACGCCTAGACCCGCCAAAACTACGATTTTCAGAGGCCGGGTGAAAAAAAAAATTCCGATAAATTTTTTTTTCTTTTTTTTTTTCCGTTTGTTGAAGTTTTAGCCTTTTCTAATAAAAATCTACTGGTGAATGGAACCAGAAAAAAGATAGGTTGTAATTTTTTTTTTAAAGTTGGGACATCCTTCATTAAATTATCCAAGCACTGAGAGGGGAGGTGGGGGTTGTTAATGTAGGACATTTGCGGCATACAGGACGCATGGGTAGTGGGTTGGTCGGAGTGTCAAAGGTTATAAAAATATCACGGCAATGTATCGTATTGATGGTGATGATTGTCATACTGATGCTTTGCGTGTCACAGTGAACTAGTTAGCTGCGTCACCGGTAATAGGTATACTAGTCGTCCTAGCGACTGCTTCACCACCATCCCCCTTTGACTGCTATTCATCCCACCCCTTTTATTAATGGAAAAAAATCAGGCGACGGCTCAATTTTTTTCCCCAGTAATGAGGGGGGTGGTTCTGCCCGGTGGAAATAATGACGTCACCAGCACGGAAAGACGCATTACTGGACTGGGTACCGGAAATTTGATCGAAAGAAATTTCGTCGACTGTAATTTGATAGAACGGAAATTTGATCGAAACTTTTTTTCAGTTCACACGTTAAAATTTTCACCAAATTTCTTTTTGAACGCACTATATTTTATAGTAAAACAAAATAATGTGTTCAAAAAGGAATTTGAAACAAAATTTACCGTCGGCGAAATTTCTTTTGATCAAATTTCCGGATACGTACTGGACTACAGTGTGTTGTCACTATGTCATGTTCAATTTTACAACTACAGGGATATCTTTATGAAAAACACAAAGCATTAGTAGCTTAAAGGGGTAGGCCTATATGCTTACTGCGAAATATTGTGGTAATATTTTTATAGCCTTAATAATAATAAAAATAATAATAATAATAAAAGGCCTAATTAGAATTCACTGATTTCACAGATTTTCAGATGACAGTTGGCTTATAAGAGACTGTCAGGATAATTATTGCATGCATAAATGTAGGTACTGTCTATTGGAAACCCCCCCCCCCCTCAATCAAATCTGTCGTACGCATCCTCAGCGCGCACGTAATACGTAATAGTTAGATGGCCCTTTGCTTTACGTAATAGTTGGATGGCCCTTTGTTTTACGTAATAGTTAGATGGCCCTTTGTTTTACTTAATAGTTAGATGGTCCTTTGTTTTACGTTATAGTTAGATGGCCCTTTGTTTTACATAATAGTTAGATGGTCCTTTGTTTGACGTAATAGTTAGATGGCCCTTTGTTTTACGTTGACAAGGTGCGGCTGGTGGGGGGGGGGGGGGTGTAAAAATATTTGTGTAAAACGCTTTAATGTTTATTTTGCGTACCAGGTATGTTATACATGAATGTCCCACTTCCCAAACAGCTTTGGGTTCGAATTTGACTACATTCTCCTTCTTCTTCTATATCTTAAGACATTGACGGATGTGCACATTGCCTGATTTTAATGTTAAAATTAATGGAATCAGCTATACTTTTTATTTTGGGTGTTACCATTAATGGAATCAGCTATACTTTTTATTTTCGGTCCCCTAGTTAAGTTTACTTAGTGAGTATTTTACGATATGGCCTCGACAAAAAGAAAGGCATGCGAAACCGATGATGAAGAATAAAATTCTACTTCTACATCAGCTTCAACAAAAGATAAAGAAAGTTTATATTCTTGCTTGAATCTAGGACACAATTTACTGTGTTGCGGTCTTCATAGAAGGGTCCATCATACACGCACTGCACATTTTGCAAGTCGGACTTTTCATTATTAATAGGAGGCAAAAGGAGTGGGGTGTATGTCGTGGGTCTAAATATTTAAATCTACACCGCAACCCACATTTTCGTAATTTCGGGGGGGGGGGGTGGGGTTTTGCTCCTTCACAGAAAATACATGTGGTATTTAAAAATACTACAATATTCATCCCAAAACCCTGAAAGTCCTAAAACAGCACATTTATATCTCGAATGCTGTAAAATACCAGCCAATGTTTAGCAGGAATTTTCGTCGTGATGTTGTCAAGATGTATTTTCATAAATGAACTCGCTAGCTATACCTAAACTCAGTAGTAGAGACATTGCAGTAATGTTTAGTGCTCCGAATGGGCAGCGCGCGTGTGACGTATATTTTGGTAGGCTACGCTAGTGGTTCTAAAATTTTCGTTTCCCTGCACCTATGCCACACTACGTTTTCACCAGGCTCCCTGTGTTGAATTCTAACATGTACATTTCGAAATAGCGAATACACAAATAAAATAAAGGTTGGATAAAAATAAATATAACGTGTATGTAGGTCACTGAGCACCATCTGGAACTGCAAACAGCGGTTGCTTAGTGGGTTACAGTTTGCACCACGACGGAAAGTTGTCACACTGGTTTAAAAGTGAAAATAAAATAATTAATTTTTTTTAAAATATTTCGCAACGCCCCGATGAGGAAGCCCGAGGGCAATGAGCACCCAGGGCGATGTGGCGTTTATTCTGGGAACCACTGGGCTGCCCGAATCACCAGTGGTGAAAACCTGTGTCATACTTTGTTTACCATAACATCATAATATACAACGGATTTTTTAAAGTTTGGGGGGGGGGGGGGTGGGCTGGTGTTTAAAAGCCCACTGTAGGTAAACACAAAAAAAGGGGGGGGGGGGCGGAGGGGGCCCCAATTTTTTACGGGGATGTTTACCATAACATCATAATATACAACGGATTTTTTAAAGTTTGGGGGGGGGGGGCTGGGCTGGTGTTCTAAAGCTCACTGTATGTACACACAAAAAAAGGGGGTGGGGGGCTGAGGGGGTCCCAATTTTTTACCGGGTAATTCATTCTTATTTTAATACATTTTATTTAATGCTCATCTGACATCAAGTTTGAACTTTCACCGGTGACTTTATTTTGACCTGCGACAGACTGGGATAATGTGATCAGCACGTTCACCCAAATATTAATTAACATGCATTAGCCGATACACGTCTGCAAAACAAAGTGACCGCAGTTAACGGCTAACGTCAGTCATCTACTGTTTACCTACAGTTCCATATTTTGATGCCTGCTTAACTCGATTCCACTGAACACGCTATAAGGAGTAGTTATTGTATACATTATATATACTGTATTTTTATTTATTTACTATCAAAATACTGCATTGTACGATTTGGAGACGATATTGTACGATTTTAGGAGTTTGGGGGAAAACAGGTCTGCTAATTTTATAAATAATTTTAACTTTTTTGTTTTCCTATAGGTTTGATGACAAAGAGAATGTCGGAAATACCAATATTGCAAAATCATCTGTACAAAAAGGTATTCGAAATCAGATATTGGATCAGTTTCAACACATTGATGAGTATTTGGATCAGATAATGCCCAAAAAAGAGCCATTGAAACTTGTTAAATGGTTAGTTTTTAATTTTATTCAGATGTTAAATGTTTAGTGCAGCATTGTTTAAAATTAAACCTTATTGAACTGTATATAAATTAATGGAGAAGTTAGGCCCCATAGTGATAATAGAAGGTTTGGGGGGGGGGTGGGGTTGGTGGTTTGTCTAAAAGAAAAATCTCAAATATCCTGTTGTTCCATTTGCCTTTTGCCAACAAATCATTTGAATAATTTTAAAAACGTAAATTTTATGTTAATTGGGCTAAAGCAAGATTTTCGTTTTAAAATAACTTTTATCAAATGTTGGAGGGAGCAGTTGTTTGAATTTCAGGTCAAAAATTTATTTATAGTTAAAGTTTAATTCAATTCGTTTGTTTAATTTCATTTTAGCCATGAGCACATAGAGCTGTTAAGCAACCAAGCTGGTGAAGTACTATTCTTCAGACAGAGGGAAGGACCCTTGTATCCATCACTCAGACTTTTGCATAAATGTAATTATAATCCATAATCTAAAAGAATTGGATTTGAAATTGATTAATAATAGTTTAGCAGACATAATGTTAACATTTTTTATAAGTATTTAATCTTTAAATTAAATACAAAGTTTAAAAATGTGTAGTTCAGTTACCATTATTTATGATTTCTGATTCCGATACTGTGGTTTATGAAAAACATTTTCAGGTTTAACATACTGTAATGTATCCTCAGATCCCTTTATTCTTCCACACATGCAAGTAGATAAAGGGGCCATTCGTTTTGTGCTCAGCGGTGCTAATATTATGTGTCCTGGCTTGACATCACCAGGGGCAAGGATGACCAAAGTTGATAAGGACCAGATTGTTGTATCCTTTTTAAAATATTTTTTATATATATATATATGGAACAAATATTTTGATTATGTAACATTTTATGCTTTTTGTAGCTTTTTTCTTCTAAAAATTTAGTTTGTGGTGAATTACTAAAAGATTATTTATGAGGCAGACCATGGTACATGTGTTAACTAAAACTAATGTCTGGTAGGAAATAATCTCTTGAATCTTGGTTTGAAATTTGTTTTTTAAATTAGATTCTTTTTATTTTGATTAGTCTAGTCATACAAGACTGTCTGGATTGTTAATGGTTAGATGCATAAAAAAAAGATCTGAATCAGCAAATCTTTGAGTGTTTCTGCTTCAACTAAAAACTATATTTTATGTAATTTAAAAATTGACCTTAACTTAAGGAAAGGCTATTATGGCAGAAGGAAAACAGCATGCATTAGCTGTTGGTCTCACAAAAATGTCATCAGAAGAAATGTAAGTATTATGACCAAACCAGGCCTTTTTAACCCTGTAGTTGTCACAACAGCTGTTCATTGGCCATATTACCCCTTTCTGATGTGTCACGGTCAGCCAGTAATCGGCCACTAGCAAAATCATCGTTAAAAATGCATGGCTTGTTTTGTTTTATTGATCAGGTGTAAAATTTGCGTAACTTTTTTGACTGCTGACTGCCATTAAGTCTGACCCTTGAGATTGCAAAATCAACACAGACTTACGTTATTGAAATTATTTCAAATTAATTAAAATGAAATCAATGATTTAAGGGAGATTTCATGTGCAGTATTAGCTCTAGCGGTGATGGCAACATAAGAATAAGAAATGGCAATTTGAGCCCTAAGCTTAGTCATAATGTTACAGACCCATTTGTTTGGGAAAGGTTGGAAATCAAACAGAAAAGACCAAGATTGGACCCCAAATACCTACCCTAAAGAGTAAAGAGATTAAAAAGGCATTTATGTTTATTTATGTTCTGGAGTCACCCATTAATTGATAAGAAATGGATTTAATAACTTCAACTGAAAAAGAATTTTTGAACTGATTTCATGCTTTCCCTCTTGTATTTAGTATGACAGAAATTTGAAGGCAGTGAATGAAGAAAATTCATCAATATTAAAATTTTTAAGCACCTATACTTTACATTTTCTGAAAATTATATTGCTTCTAGTATCTTAAAAAACTTTATTTCTGTTGAACAATTCATGGAGTATTAGGTTGGGTTGAATGCAGAAGTTGAGTCGTAAAATTTTACTCACTCTGTAAAGGTCAAGCTCAATATCAACATACATAATATAAAATCAAATTCTATTCATACCATAAGGTACCTTGTCCAATGTACTTTCTGAAAATATATACTTTTAATTTTAAGGGTCTCTGAATTCTCTGAAGTATGGGTTTTGTTATTTTTGACAAGCATACGAAACTACTAAAAATGGCTTGAAGCTACAGAAAAATGCACTTGACATAGTTTTTTTTTCTTTTTAAACTGCACAAATATCATTATCAAATTATTGAAAGCAAAATTTCATTTTATTTTCAGATTATCTAAAAACAAAGGAGTTGGTGTGGATAATATTCACTTCTTGAATGACGGGCTTTGGTTAATGAAACCAATAAAATAGCAATTATCTCTTGACATTATTTATTTTAAACTGTTATTAACTGTAAATATTGTCTGTGAGCTGCTGCTATTGTCCTTGTGGTGTTATGATTGTGCTTGGGTGAAATTTAATGTGTTTTTATGCCTACTTTTGAGAAACAAGTATCATATTAAAATATTTCATAGAGTTTTAATTAATGTAGGCATTAAGTGAACCAGTTTTCCTTTTTCTTAAAGAACTATAATATAATTTAGTTTAATTGAAGCAGTTAGATTGGTTTGTACTTAATTTTATCTGAAATATTTTTAAAACTTACATATCTTGGAAAGATTGACTAGGCTGCCAGGGTCAAAAGATTGTATACTCCTGAATACCTTCTAAATGTAATCTGAAGAAAATAGCATTATAGTCAGTGAAATTGTGTTTTTTACACATAAGTTGTTTTTTATTTTTTAAGCTTGTCATCATGCTTTTAAGATGATATAAAATTTAACTTGAATTTCTATTAAATATAATTGGTTTATTTAAAACTTGTCAGTGACCATGCTAATGCTAAACATGAAAACATTAAAAATGTTGGGTATAGCATTTAAATGTAATTGAAAATCAAGCTTTACATTTCAATTTGTTGAGTTAATGTTAATATTTACAGGTCAAATATAAAATTGTACCATTTCCATGCATTTACAATGAAGTATTTCATTTAAAATGTGTTGCCCTTTAATATTTGATAGACTAACTGGCTGTTGTGATAAATTTAAACGCTATAAATCATATAAATAAAGAGCACATTATAAAAATGTAGTTTAATTAAAGAAAGATCTTAATTTATGGTGTTTCTTTCTGTTACGGTAATTTGTACAAACTGGGTTTTCTGTTCCTAGATTTCAAGCCTCACCCTTTTCTTTATCCTCTTGTACTTCAGTAGATATCTAATTTTTTGGGAAACATATTTTTAAGTGTGCCCGGTGTATTTTATGCCTCTCTGGTTAAAGTTATTTCCAACATTTCGCATTGTGGCACTCAAAAGGTACCAATAGCTTTGGTCAGAAGTAGACAAATAACAGGACATCCGATCGCCTGTACATTTTTACAGTATAAAATATTGTCTTTTCTGAAATTAAGGTTAGCTGTTTTGTATTCTACATTTCTAAATGTAATTGGTAGCATTCAAAGTTAACTAAAGTAACTTTCATAAAATTTTGAAAGTCAGTAGCTTGAATGCATTAAATTACTGTCCGTACCATGGTTTAGCTGTAGATTGTATTAATCGATATCCCTCAGCTACCCAAATTTAATTTTCCACTGATGTAAACTAACACCGCACTACCCACAAGTTTAGTCTGAAATATGTTGTACATGTAATACATTGACGTTATCTTTAAGTAATGTAATGTTTTATCAAAAATAAATTTGCTAAATTGTATAGGATACGAGAGATGGTTTTTAATTTATTGCTCTTATAAGATGCATCTTGTCTTTGGTTTTTCAAATTTAACAATAAAATATGTTCATGTTCCATGGTATTTTCTTTCATTTAAATATTGAGGCAATGAATATAGTTTGGTACAATCAACTGTTGACAGACTATGTTTTGTAAAAATACCAATCTCTGTGTGTGTAATACTAGGTATAGCATAGAATTTATTTAAAAGTACCAGTAGCGGGGTTTGATGTTAAATTATGTCTTATCATTTGACAATCAACAAATACAATGCATCATAACGAACCATCATTCAAAAATTGAAGTTAGTAGAAACACACATTCCCTCTCATTCAAGACAAAATAATATACCTTTGCATTAAACAAGAGCATCTGCATTGCAAAATATAATTAATTAATTTGAATCATCTGAATGGAATGCACTTTAGTCATTTGAAATAAGAGATATCAAATTACTAATTCCCACATAATTTAAATGCTATGAAAATTTATTTTATTTTGTTGCTGATCCATACAAGCAAGGCCTAGCAAAGAAAGCCAACCAAGTATTGACAGAGTAATGACTGTAATCAACATATGTAAATCCTGATTTATCCAAAAATGTCCATGTCTCCCTGTTAATATTACAACCACCACTGAATTTGGGCCAAATATATTGGAGTTTGTCTTGTACCCTTCGAATGAAGGACCCCTTCTGTGCAGCAACATGTTCCAAATAAAAAAATGCTCCTCCCTAGGAATAGGAAAGAAAAAAAGTATTACAATTTTTAAAAATATTAAATCAATGCACATCTTAACAGGTCATAATTTTAAAACTAAAATGCACTTGTTGTTGCTTTATCATTATCTTCCTGTTGCAAGCTTTACATTTTTAACAAACATCCTACTGAACTGGATTACAAGAATGTTCTTTAAATAAAATCATCATTATATTCTGTTAAGGAACAATTATAATTATTAGCATTAAAAAAAACCCAGAAATTTGATAATGTAAAATGTTTTTGTATAAACAATTTTTTTTTTTAAATCTACAGATTCAGAGTTGATCACAAAAGTTCCTTTTGTCTGGTAGTTTTAGGAATTAGGATGATTAGATATATGGTATTTAAATAGTTTCAGAGCTCATTCAGTCATTGCAAGACTAAAGGTATTGATTGATATTTGAACACATTTTGTCAGAATGTTCATATTCATTGCCTCTTGCTATTAATTCTTAAAAATAAATGTTTAATTTTTAAAATGCAGAAAAATATATATAATCATAAAAATACTTACTGGTTTCAGAACGCGTTTAACCTCTTGAAGAACTGCTGCTGGTTGTCGAACAGAACAGAGTGTCAGTGTGCATAAGACAACGTCATATGCATTGCTTTCCACCTGTGGCATATTCTCTGCAAATCCTTTGATAAAACTGACAAGTTTTAAGTTTTTTTGAGCTTTTCTCAAATTCTTAATCACGTACTGCTCATGAAAGGGATTGGGATCAACACATGTTACTTCTGTCCCTCTAGGATAATATTTGAAGTTCATACCACTTCCAACACCTATTTCCAAAACTTTAAAAGTTCTGTTGGGTGACTGTTGTTTTAAATGTTGAAGTTGATCAAACAGTAATGTCTTCTCTTTATTGCAAAATTTTCTGTGAACCCATCCACAAATAAGATTAAAAAAGAATGCTTCAACCCTAAGTTTTGCTCTTCTCAAACTGAATGTTTGATATACTATGTAACATAGAATTATTGAGGGAATGCCGTAGTATAATAGCATGGAATGAAGTTCGGCATCTAGCTCCGCCATCATCAGCTTATAAAGACCATTGATGAATCAAAGTAGGGTCTGAAAATACAAATATGATTTCATTTGGTTACATTTGATACAAAATATAATAAGTAATGTAAGTCTGTTTTTTTTTCCCTTCTAATTTTATAATGCATTGATACTCTTTTAATGGGTACCAGTATGAGACAGTCAAACAATTTGTAGGAATGTGAGTTAGGAAACACTGGTCTTAGGCAGACATTCAAATTTCACAGTTCACTTGTAACATATAGGCATCCAAGGAATGGCCATTATCATTAGTGTCACTAGGATTTGCAGATCGCACTGGTTGACACCCTACCAGGGGTTGAAGCCAAATGGAAAATCGCAAATTTGACAGTGCTTGCTCATGTCAGTTTCATAGCAGATCAAGTTATACAAAAGAACCAAAACTGTTCACAGCGAGAAAACGGTGCCACCATAGCAGGTGTCATCAAACCAGGCTTCCACCAGAGCAGGTTGTCACCAGAACAGGGTATCATCCCAACAGGGGATCCTTGGTGTAAAAAGGGGGGAGGGGTGTGACACCATTAGTTTACCGCATTGGATGGCTCTAACTCTAGTAATGCCACACTGGTCATAATCATTAATAAGAATATTATTATACTTATTGACTTGAAATAAATCAACCACCAAGGAGTCAAATGCAGGCAGTAGTAAATTAATGACGAATAACAGCTAGTTTGTAAAAGTATGGTAGTAGTGATAAAAATAGGTGTAGAGATTAAATTTTATTCTTTTGAACACATTCACCGTGCTACTACTCCGCCTGGCAATCAAGCAGATGGCTTATTAAGAAGTTACTATTATTAGACTTAGTTTAAACAAGTAATTACGTCTTAGCTTCTGCCTATGAGTTTTTACTTACTCAACTCTTAATAAGTTAGTAGAAATAAAATTGTTCTCTACTACTATTATTTAACGTATGTAAAGTATATTTATTTTACAAGATAAGTATTTAGATTCCACTGTTATCAAGAAGTGCATTTGCTATAACATTATAACCTATTTCTTTTAAATTTAATTTTGATATTTTATTATCACGTTTAAACGGTTTATTATTCTCCTCCTGGACATTGAAACTTGATTATCACTATCACAGGCATTTTGTTACAACAAGGCCAGCTACTCGTCACAATTATATTCTTGAGAACGAATCCTGGCCGCAACTTTCACTTTCGTTCCCGCTAGGAGAGAATGGCCATAGTTCCCATAGCCGTAGTCGTAGTCATAGTTAGTATAGTTATTCATTGATGTTCTTCGCCGGTAACGAAATTTATAAAAAAAAGATTTTCAGTTTAGTCTTAAAATAAACACTATTTTATTATACAAATCAAGCTCACATTCATTACCCAAGTAAGCCCTATTTCTTAAATTTATTGGTAATTATTGTTTAGATAATTTTAATTAGTAAGTACTAATAAATATTGGTCATCTTATAACTTACGTTCGCTGCGCCGTGGCTGTGAGTGTGTTACTGTGTAGGATTCTCTCCCTTTTGTTGATCTTCTTGTTAATGCTAAATTATTAAGTAATTAAGGCAAGGACTGTTACTAATAACATTATTGCTTGACTTTGTAACCACACTACAGGCAGACACAAAGTGTGAAATTCCTAGGGCCCTAGCCCTAGTAGGAGATGCTTAACTTCTTTTAATCTAAGAATGCCTAAATCACTAAATCTTGATGATTGATGGCATGGCAAAGTAAAATCAGCACACTAGTACTAGCTAAGTATTTGATGCAGGGCTGTCTTTACAGCTGCAGGGATCCTGGGAAAAGTAATGCACCGAGGCGCCCTACTCCTCTATATACTATACTCAGGGCTTTGTAAAGAAGGGGCAGGACGAGATTTGCCAATCACCCCTGGCACCAGCATCAGGAGGTGACTAAACTGTGGGGGTAGCATTTAAGACTACCCGTTCAGTGAGCGGGCGTGGGTGCAGGGCTTCTATCAGCACTGAAATTAGGCATTTTGATGCCCAGGGCCAGCTCTGACTTCGTCGCCCCCATCATACATAATCATAAATTCATTCTGAGAGTGGAGCTCCTTGAATGTATGCTTTTAGCCCTAGCTTAGTTTTGCCCCTGGAATCTTTATACCGGTACTCCAACTACATATAGAAAACTAAAGGGAAATCATAATTTTGGTGGTTCAAAAGAATCATTGTAATTACTTACTTCCAGCACTATTTTTTATATGACAGTACTGTCACTTTAATTGGGGAGGGAGAAGAGATCAAGTGTGTCGAATGAAACTGGTCGCAAGATTTGGGGAGGGGTGTTAGTAAGTGTCAGTTCACACATTCTGAATCTATTTCCTTTCAAATTATCGTTCATACATTTGATGCGATTTTTGTGTGAAGCCACATCTTTCAAATTACTAATTGATCTATTCTGTTTTTTTGTCCAAAAAAAAAAACCATGCACAAAATTTGACGCAAATTCCCTTCCCAAAAATTTTTTGGACAAATTTTGGCCCATAAATGAATTTAGTTAAGCATCATTCTACATTTAATCGGCTTGCAACTGAAAAGATGCTAATAATTGAAATTTAGGTTACCTCGACCATGCATGGTTCATGGGTACACAATTCCTTTTATTTTTAGTTGTATCTAAATACTAATGTTGTTTCATAATTTTATTTTTAAATTACCCGTATTTATTTGTTCAAACTATTCCATCAATGAATGAGTTTTAAAAAATATCAAAACAGTTGTTCATTAGAAAAAACAAAAAACAAACTATTAGTATATTAGTGTCATAACCATCATTCTGCATTCATTTAAAACTTTTATAAGTAGGTATTTCCATAATTTACATTTTCCAAAAGATTAAAAATACTACATTTTAGAAAAGGTCTATATATCTTGTATGGCTATTTAAAATACATAATTTTTTAAAAATTGTATCTAATTGGTATAAAAAAGAAGAAAGTAAATATTTACTAAAGGCGTCATTTATTTATTAATGTATGATTTATTTGTGGGAAGATGAAGCAGTATGGATTTCCAATCAAATGTAATTTAAAAGTTTTTATGGAATTTTTAACTATTATTAATTTTTTCCTTTCAATGACTAAATAATGAACCCCAATCCCAGGATATTTTTGTTCAAATTAACAATTTATCAAAAGAAATTTTTTTAAAAACGTGTACCAAAAAATTGAAATCATAAGAAAATTGAAAAGTTTTTGTTTAAAACAACGGGAGAAACAGTCTTCCGGCTGCATTTTGAAAGCAAATTAAAAAATTGAATTGCAAAAAATGTTTCAATATTCATTAACAATATTGGGAGCATAATGCCCCTAGAGATGTGAGCCTCCCTTCTGGGAGCACATGGCCCCATGCCTTAACATGGCAATGATTTGATGAGTTCATTCTAAATCTAGCCACTGTGACTAAGTGTATCAGGACCATTAAACAAAATTTGTTGTTCTTAAACCACTTATCAAATTCAAGCAGGAAGGAGGGGTATGTCGTTCGTCCGTCGAAGTCGACAAGGACCATCGAATCATCCGGTTAGGTGCGGGCGGGGGGGTTGGGATTACGGTGAGCTCTTAGGTGGCTTGTTAGACCGATCCTTGCACGGAATAATCTATGACACCGTGGGCATGGAATAGTTGCTTCAGACGATGACCTAATGTTGCTCTTTCGGACAAGCCTGCGTGTCTCAGCTGTGGTTATTCTCTTAGCTTCATGGGATTTAGCCCCTTCTTGACAGCAGCTCTCCATCTGGCTCTGTCCTGGGCTGTCTGCACCCATTGAGTAGTGTTTATGCTGAAGGCCTTTAGTGCCACTTTCAGTGAGTCTTTGTAACGCTTTCTTTGGCCTCCTTGGGAGCGCTTGCCTATCGTGAGTTCTCCAAAGAATATTTGTTTCGGGAGCCGGTGGTCTGCCATACGGGCTACGTGTCCCATCCAACGGAGCTGAGACTGCATCAGAGTGGTGAAGATACTAGGTAGGTTCGCTCTAGCGAGGACCTCGGTGTCGGGGACTTTGTCTTGCCACCTGATGTCGAGGAGTTTCCTGAGGCAGGTAGTGTGAAAATGATTCAGTTTCTTGGCGTGACGCTGGTAGACAGTCCACGTTTCACATCCATAAAGCAGTGTCGGGAGGACTGCTGCGCTATAGACCTTGAGCTTTGTTTCACGACTGATACCTCTCCTGTCCCAAACAGTGCTGCGGAGCCTGCCAAATAGGGCACTTCCTTTTGCGAGTCTGCCATTCATTTCATCATCCATGACGACAGATCTAGAGAGAGTGCTGCCCAAGTAAGTAAATTTATCCACCGGGTTGAGACGCTGTCCACTGATGATGATGTTGGGTTCAACGTAGGGCTTACTGGGAGCTGGCTGATACATCACCTCAGTCTTCTTTGTGTTGATTGTGAGGCCAAAGTTATTGCAGGCCTCTGAGAAGATATCAACACTGTGTTGCATGACGGCTTCTGATGGAGCATTAAGGGCACAATCGTCTGCAAACAGAAGCTCGTTGATCGTGGTATGTTTGACCTTGGTTTTAGCTTGAAGCCTCCTAAGGTTAAATACTGATCCATCAGTACGAAACCGGATTGGCAAGCCCATGGTGGAGTCCTTGAACGCATCAGACAGCATTGCGGAATACATAATACTGAAGAGTGTGGGAGCAAGAACACAACCCTGTTTTACACCGTTTGTGACGGGGAATGCTGGAAGGAGGGGTAGTTTACCACTGGAGGTTGATATTTTTATAGACAGCAGGCAGGAATTTCCAATCACATTGTTTCTAGCCTTTTTCCAGGGCCCATACATAAAAGTCGTCATGTGCCTTCGGGGTGGGGTTACTAATTTGTGACGTGTAATGAATTTGTCTAATTTGTGTTACAAATTTTTGACAATGGGAAAGATGTAATAAAATGGACCAGAATAACCTGATGTTTGCTTTAGATTGTGCACAAGAAGCCTTGCTGTAGCAAAGTCAAGGTAGTGTAGTACATGTGAATCAAGATGTTGAAAACGTGCTCACTACATGGAGCCATTTATTGAAGTGGGTTGTACCTTATGCTCAGTTAATAAAAAATCAGGCCTATCATGATGGTATCAAGATGTCTGCCTATGTGGCTCTTTTTGGATACAGAGTAAAGATTGGGTTAAACCACCGATCGCAACCTTTTTTGAGAGAGGAGCCATTTTTTATAAATCTGGAAAATATTTTTGCAACCCGCAGCTTGCCTGCCAATGGATTAAAAGCTTCTATTCTACCTAAAGACGTTAACAGACCATAAATGGTGTCAAGAGCAAGAAAGACTTAGATGATATTGTTTAATCAGTAAGAATCTTCTAATGCTTATCCCAACTTTTTCTGCCAAGTTTTTTTTATCCCCTGGTATATTTTTTCAGGTATTTCCCAAAATAGTATATACATGTTTGCATTATCTACATTACTATAGGTTAGTGTATCAATCTCTTGTGTCATTTGCCAACAGATGTAAATATCTGTGACCGGTTTAATAAAAACGTGAATAATTTCCAACATGTCAACTGTGGAGTTACTGGGGATCCAAGGCATTCGCAGTTTTGGTCCTGATAAAGATGACTTCCAGAAGATCAAATTCTTCAAGCCGCTCACACTAATATTAGGCCCAAATGGTACTGGAAAAACTGTAAGCTCTTTTTTTACATCACTCTTATAAGCTTAAATCATAAAATAATAAATAACCAACATTTAGTGAACCATGATATTTAATCCCATTTCATGTTTTAGGAATTCATAGAGATTAGTGATATGGCTAATATCAAAGTGATAAAAATGAAAGTAAAAACAAAATAATAAAATAATTGAATTCATGGATGTAGAAAATTAAAATATAAACCAGTTATATGAGTAACTTATGAAAAAGCCACATTTCAGACTATCATAGAGTGTCTCAAGTATGCAGCCACGGGAGATATGCCCCCTGGTAGCAAAGGAGCAGCATTTGTGCATGATCCCAAGGTAGGACTCTACAATGATGATCGATATATTTGATTAGATAAAAATGTTACATTTTGTTAATTTTAATTGATACTGTTTGGTCTATCTAGTATCTAGCTTCAAATAATTACTCCCCAATTTACAGCTTGCAAAAGAGAGGGAGATAAAAGGACAAATCAAAATGATGATCAGAGATTATGCAGGTGTTTCTTGCACAGTTGAACGTTCAATGACTGCAAGAGTAAAAGACAAGGAAGTAAATACTATGTTTGTCTCAATTTATTGAAATAAATTTGTATTAAGTGAGAAATAAAAATAAATTAGTACCCATTTTATTATTTTCTTCTTGGCTTCAAATATAAAATTATGTAGTAATCCATTTTTATATTTTCTTGTATTAAATCTGATAGAAAATTTCATTAAAAAATTACCTCTTAGGGGAAAAAAGTGGAATTGAAAACCTTGGATGGTGTACTTACAAGGCTACCCAAAGATGGGGAGAAGCAGTCAATTACCTCAAGGTGTGCTGACTTGAATAGAGAGGTAATCACAAACTCACAAGCATTGGCTGAGTAAGACCTCCAGTCTCTTGATGCCAATTTTATTTTGCTCTTCATATTTCACAAAAAAAGGCCTAAAAATTTGAAATAAATATTGATATTTAATTCAAGTTTTGAAATATGAAACGACTTTATTTTGTTCATTTTTCTTAAAAAGTACAATATTTAGTTATGCTATATTTTAATATTTTTTTTAATTTTCTCATTAAATTAAATGATGTATAAGTATTATGCTATCCAGTATTACAGTGAAGCAAAATAAACTTTTCAGATGATTGGTGCTTTGGGTGTTTCTAAACCTGTCTTGGAAAATGTTATTTTTTGTCACCAAGAAGATTCCAACTGGTAATTTGCATTGTACATTAGCCTTTAGTTTTTTAATAAAATGTAGGCTTAACTTCAATTTTTAAGAACTTTTTCATTTAGAAGATTGATGCATTTAATTAATTTTCAATGTTTCAGGAATTTGGTTTTGTTAATATTTTTTAAAATGTTTATTAGTTTTGATTTTGTTCTATGTGCCACACAAATTTTATGCTTTAGGCCTCTGAGTGAAGGAAAAGTTCTCAAAGAGAAGTTTGATGCCATTTTTGCCTCTACCCGTTACACTAAAGCTTTGGATGAAATTAAAAAACTTAAAACTGCTCAGGTTTGTTGCTTTGTCTTAATGTTGGGTCACTAGTTTTAATTTTGTGTTAAACAAGTCATAATTGTTAAATGTATTACATAAGAATGCCTAAATGTTTATCATTTTTCTTGTATATCTTGAGTGCCCAAGATCATTGTATTGATAATTCTTGCTCCTATATAGATGGTTTTCGCAATGTTTCTGTGCATAAGAAGGCCTTACTGTCTATCGTATGTGTATTCATTGCTATTAATATTTTTATACCACATTTTTATATCTGCGAAAATAAAATACATATACTTTTTCTTTCAGGACCAAGATATCAGAGAAAATAAAAAAGAGCTGGAATATTTGAGGCAGCACAAAACAAAAGCAGATGAGGTAAGCACTTAAGAATTTTGCTCTCACTTGTTTTTATAATTACCTAATAATTTGTGCTTATTTTTTTTTTTGCATTTCAAATTTGTGTCACTACTTTTTGTCATTATTTCAATTTTTAAAAATTTAGATTCATGGCCTTAAGAATAATTTCAGATGATATAAACAAGTGCTAATTAAGGTATTAAAAATAAGCAATTATGAGACATTTTGTATTATGCTCATTATACAAAAATATTAAAATAATCTCCTCACTCAAAATAGAGCTTTTTCATAAATATAAAAGTTCAGTTAAACTAAAAAAAAATATATAAAAAAATTAATTTAATTTATGAAACCAATGATTTACTACCAGTGATAAAGTATCCTAATTCATCTATTGTTGAATAGCTATAAATCAATGCACATTTCTCAGACCAGAATCTTTTCATCTTTTTTTGTAATAAGCTCATTACTGGAACAATTTTGTTGTAATAATCAATCAATAATAGGTCCACTAACAAAATAATGAGACAACCTATCTTGTGTGTAAAGAGCTTTATGGCTCTAGTAAGTCTTGAATATAGTATTTTATCACAGGAAGTTAATAGTCTCCACTGGTAAACAAAACATTTATTAAAATTTATAAATTGGTTGATTTTTTCTGTGGCTTCTGATTTGAAATGTTCTGTTTCAGCTTCAGAAAGATTTAGAAGAACATCAAAATAAATTAGCTGCTTCTGAGGGGGAAGTTGAGCAAATTACTAAAGAGCTGGAGCCAATCAAAGATCAGCTCTTGAAAATTGGGGCTCACCAAAATGAAATATTTAAATTGCAGACATCAAGAGGTTTGCAAAATGTTCACTGTGTTACTAACATTTTTTAATATTGATACATATTTTCCAAGTAAGAAATGTATATTTTGTTACTTTTTTTATAGTATTAAAAGTAAGCAATTAATTTTGTGTGCTGGTACTGATGGTTGGTTTTTTCTCAACTAGACAAGTGTGTAAATGAAAGAGAGCATATAGAGAAATCTATCAAAGATTTGAGGGCAAACATCAATGAAGAATTCACAGGTATAATTCGTGTTTATGGTGGTTTTTTTTTAAACATTAAAAGTTAATAAAACACACATACAGCATTAAATTAATCTTCTTTAAAATATAGGCCTTTATAAACTTATGTCCTATTGATCAACTGGAAGTAGTGTGCTGGGTCAGATTAATTACCATACTACATTTTTATCTTTACAATTCCTGATTTCCTGTATAATGACATATTATTTTTGCTCTTTTATTTTTATAGAGCCCTTTTACTATTCCTAGGCTGATTACTTCAATGGCATTTTGAAATACCAAACTATTATGCTTATAAATGATGTGACCTTATGCATACCGGTATAGCTATAAATTCATCATTGCCACATTCTAGAGTTGTAAGTGGAATATTTTTAAATAACTTTGGCCTGCCACACATTTTACTTTCCTTAACACACAGGATCAACTACTGAACTTAAAAATTTGCTGAGAGATTTTTCTGCAAAGGTCCAGGAAAAAAAAGATGAACTGAGTGAGGTAAGTTTGAAAATATTTTTTCATGTGCTGTGTATGTTTGTTGCAAGAAAGTATACTATTTTATTTCATTAGACACAATACAACATGAACTACAAAACTGTTATCATTTATCAAAAGGGAATATCCAGTAATGGAAGAAAATCCCTAAAAATTTATTTGTGAAATTTGCACTAAAACATAATGCAAGTGGCCATATTTGAAAATTGGTTTGGACTGATGGGACTATTATATTATAGCAGAATGTATCAATAAAAAATATTTTAAAATGGCTCAATGTTTGTATATTGCACAGCAATCTGAGCAACAAAATAAACTAGTAGCTGAGCTTGATAAAGTTGCCAAGGAAAGGAGCAGTTTGCTGATGGAGAAAGGAAAGCTTGAGAAAGAAGCAGAGGTTGTGTTAATTTGTGTTTGTTGTTAGATGATTTAAAGAATCTGTTTTTGTTATTTATTTTAAAAAATAAATTTATAGTGTAGCTGAATGCAGTGCTTTGTCCAATTTATATTATATGCATATTAGTTTTATCTTTGCACGCTTGTACAAATTTGAGTAAATTAACATATAATTATCATGTTTATTTATTCACTTGTATTTTATTTCAAGATTCAAGATGAAAATGTCAAGAAAAGAAATGCTAAGATGCAAGAAACGGCAGTTTTATATCAGTTTGATGGTAAATAATTCCAATTCTGATTGACTACGTTGCTGCATCCATGTACTGGCATATGTGCAACGGCTTGAGAAGTGATGTGGCTATCTTAACGGCTCCTAGCGGATGCCAGGGCAGCCTTGAAACTCTCTCTTGATTTTTGAGTCCACAGCAGTATTGTCCAGTTGGTTCAAAGCAATTATTGTTTGTGGGAAGAATGATTGTTTATATTGAACTGTGTTACACCAAGGCACAGTGAAGCATTTATCATTGTTCCGGAAATTTCACTCAAGCATTTAATAAAATTAGTTAAAGATGTTTTACTATTATTTGTTAAAACCTGAGAATATTATCAAAATTTTATAAAATATTTGGCCATCTTTGCTCAATCTTTTATCATCAATTAACATCTGCTGTATTTCAAGATAATTTTTTTCAAAATTGTAACTATGTATATTTATGGTCATCTGATCTAGAGATAAAAATATGGAATTACCACACAAAAAAGATATTCCCTCAAATAAATTTGCTTTCTATCCATATCTTTTTATAATTCCCTTAAATTTCCAAGATTGAGCATTATCTTAGACATCTAAAATGTTTTCCATTTAATTTTAATTCAGGTTTTGAGGGTAACACCGAGATCAATGATGAGAAGTATCGTTTATTTTTTGAACTTGTGAAAGAAAAACTAACATCTTTGATGGAGGAAGGGAGGAGAAGAAAGGTTTCACATTTTCTCTTAATTTTATTAAAGCTAGCATATTGGCAAAGTTTTATATACCATATTAGGAAAAATATTTTTCTATATTATAAAACCTTATGAATGTTGCATACCCGGTCATAAAAGGTATCTTTTTTATTAAAGTGTTTAAATTTAATTTAGGAAAAAGGATTTTTCACCCTATCAGTAAGTTATTGTTACAGGCTGAGTTTGAGGAATCTGAAAATCAAATTCAAGAAAAAATTGATGCACTCAAGGAAAATAAGACCAAATTGGAGCATGGAGAAAAGATGAAAAAAGAAACCATAGTAAGTGAAGGGTTGTTGTTTTTTTTTACTATTTCAAGTTGACTTTATTTAATTGTTTTTTAAATTTCAAAATCTTTAACTGAATAGGAAGAAAATTATTTCAAAAGTTTTTAAAAACTTTTTTTAGTGTCAATACTACATTTTTATGCTGCATAATATTAGCAATAGGTTAATCAACTTTCTTTTTTTTCCAGGCCAAAAACACTTTAGAATTAAAAGATATCAATCAAAAGCTTTCTCAGATGTCTAGATCTGCTGACAGGCTGACTGGATTAGTTTCCGATCTTAAAAGAGCTGTGAGTAGATTATAAAAGAATTTAACACATTGCTGACTTTATTACTGTGTAGAACAAAAATGTGCAATTTTTATACTGACAACATATTGTTTGCTACATTTATGTCAAGCAATAGGTGCACTATTCTGCCTGAGAAAGACAAAAATATTCATTGACTGTTTATATTTTAAAAATAGACACTAAGTTTCAATGTCAAAGTACAATCGTATTAGATTTGAAAAGTAGGGTGGGTGAGAGTTGCTTTTTTTTTTTGCCAGTTTAATTTAAGGCTGAACCATATATCTTTCATATGTATGGTAAGAATTCTTATTCTTATCTTTTGAGTTTTTAAACTCCAAAAATTTTCGTCACCATAATTTAAAGGCCCACTCTGCCAAAAGGTTACTATAAATAATATAAAATCACTAAAGCTATTTTTGGCACCTGGTACCCAAGTTATTGAAAAAAATCAGTCAATCTATATTTGGTAACAGAGTTATGGAAAATCAATCAATCTAATTTTAGTAACTTCTTACTGTAAAAAAAAATAAGGGGGATTATTATTTAGGGGAACCTATTTCTTTTATCGTTTTTTTTTTTTTTTACATACAAATCTTTAAGAAAAATGATTGCGAAAATTTTTTTAAAAATAATTTTAATTATGGATAAAATCTTATCTTTTTACTTTAAATTCTTTAAGTATAGACCATAATTTTAAAATTTATATTAATAAAAAAAATAATGAGGATTATTATTTAGGGGAACCTATTTCTTTTATCGTTTTTTTTTCTTTTTTACATACAAATCTTTAAGAAAAATGATTGCGAAAATTTTTTTAAAAATAATTTTAATTATGGATAAAATCTTATCTCTTTACTTTAAATTCTTTAAGTATAGACCATAATTTTAAAATTTAGATTAATCAAAGTCAGTAAACCATGAAAGTATATCGTTCTGAAATGGTATAGTTAGTCATTAAATTTCACTGTAATTGAAGTTCTCAGCAGGGATTTTTCTGTTAGGAAATCAGCTGAATCTACAGGATAATTTTTATTGAGTCCCTTTACTCTAACTTCACTTGGGAAAATTTTTCTGAAGTATTTGACATGCTCTCAATTACCCTGGCATAATTTAGTAATTGATCATACTTGTTTTATAAAGTATGACTTTGAAATAACTGTCTTAATTGTAGATGAAAATCATTGCCATTTTAACACCATGGGCCACCCAATTGCAAAACAAAAATGTTCACGTGTTAAGTACGGTATTCAATTAAATCATAAATAGGCATGTGATACTAATACTAATATAAAGAAATCCATACACTTGGTTTGAGCATTTGATGATAAAATAAAACTCTGGGTTATTTATACTGGAAATAAAATTGTTAAAATAAAAAAGTTATTGTTTTTGTATTTTGACAAGTTTTACAAATATTCTCAGGAACATGAATTGAGAGCAGTTGAGAGTTCTATCAATGTTAATGAGATCAAGACAGAAATTGCCGGCCTAGATCACAAAAAAAAACAACTAGATGCTGCACTCAGTGAACTGAAGTAATATAGACATTTAGATGATTATTGAAAGAATTAGGTCTAGTTCATTTACATGGATGTTTCTTATGACTAAAGATTTTTTACTGCTTGATCTATAAAAAAACTTCTGAGCTTACCAAAAAAAAATACTTTGGGATACAACTAGTGATGATAAATTATATTATTGGTATGTTGAGCATGGCCACTATACATACAGCTGCTACATTTTTTTCTTAAACTGTGCTGGTTTTAGTCTTGCTCATGCATACACAGAAGCATTATTTCACTGCATTTAGAGCCCATCAGAGCTTTAATGAAAATATTAATATTTAAAATAAGGGGACAAGCCCAACATCCAAATTGCTTTGAACAACCAATGTTACCAGTACCATACTTGACACTTTTTTTCACCACCCATCCGTTGGCTGTTCTTATTTGCATAACTCCATCTAATAAAATTCTAATCTATTTCTATCTATTTGTAACAGATACATTTTTTTTATCTGCCAACATGTTTCAAAAGTCACTATTCTAATTACCCAGCAATGAATAGGAGAAATGAAATCAAGTCTTTTCTAGAGAATAAATATTTTAATCACAGTGAAGAGCACTTTTAAACATAAAAGACATAATAATTTTGTATATGTTGTTAGGGACTTGAATGCATGGTGTGATTGCGTGTTGGTTTGAGATTATGTGTGTTGTTTTATCTGTTATTTTTAGTATCTTGTGACGTATTGTGTGGAAAGGGATATGAGGTATTATTATTGTAGATGGTTGTGGAGTGATGTTCTTTGAGTACAGTAATGGCAGTTGAGGAATTAGCTGTTTAATAAAGATATTTCATACAAGAATTATAGTTGTGAAGTGTATATAATTAAACCTCCCTAGACAACGAAGCCAACGAACCTATTAAGTAAGAATAGGTTTGTAACATATGTTTTATTGTTAAATTAGTTACTTCAATTTTTAATTAAAATTAAGTATGGAAACTAATAATATAGTTATAATTATTTCTTTGATAAAAATAAAAACTATTATCAATTTAATACATGTTAACTAAATTATCCTTTTGAATTATTTGTTTAATATTTATTACTTATATCTGCTTTACATTTCTCATGGCCGCATTGACTCAGTTCTGAGATGAACCGACTTAGTAAACAGTCTGGCATTCAGACACAGCTGGATATGTTGATTGCAAATCAGGAGGTAACATATTTTTTTTTCATCCACTGAAAAGCTGTTATTTATAAATTCTATTTTAATAAGTCAGCCAGAGGCTGCAAAAACATTTTCTATCTTCTTTTGTCCTATGGAACACATAGCAAAGTAAATGTCACATCAAGTTCAAGTACTTTGCAATATTCCAAAGTTGCTCAATCATTTTTACCCCAGAAAAAAAAAAAAAGTAATATCAATGCATTTTGTTGCATTTAGCAGCAATCTCAGATCTCTGGTATGAGAAATTATTTTGTTTCATTAATTTGTTCTTAAAGCAAATATTTATATTTCGTTCTGACTGTATAGACAATATTTAATTTTTGTAAATTATATTTCAAATTATGTCATTTTTTTTTTATTTTTGCACACACAAAAAAAACCCAGAAAATTCTTTTTTTTAAAATCTTGTTCTATTTAGACACATTTTAAATTATTTTTTAAAATTATTAATTAGTATGATCATTGTAGGAGAAAGAGGCTACCATTGAAAGATTACGTAAGCTTCATGAAGACAACATAATGAGTTTACTGGGACATGTGCCACTAGATAATCTGAGGGAAAGTGTCAGTGACTACATCAGGTAAGTCACTGAATAATGTGTATGTTGAAATTCTGACACCATTACTCTTTTAGTAGGATTAAAATACTAGAAAAGAACGAAACACTTAACCTTCTTGAATAATCAACTATATTATGAAGGGGGAGATAAATGATGGCTAGTGAAATTTGTCTCAGTATTCTGGGGTAATCTTTGTTAAGGTGAATGGTTTTTTTCTTTTTACTGATTTTAAAATAATATTTGACTAAACATGAAAAGTTAAATATGTATATATCTATCTTCTGGCAGCAATCAGACAGAAAATGTGAAAAAGTGCAGCAATGCCCTCATTGACCTCAAAACACAGCTTTCATCAAAGCAGGTTGAAAAAAATGCAACAGCCGCCCAGCTGAGGCAGAAAGAGGATGAGCTGAGGGCGGGAGAAGACAAGATTAATAGTGTTTGTGAGAGTCAAGATATGGAGGAGGAATTTAACGAGGTAAATCAAATTGGTACTCCTGGAACTGAATAATTTATTGGCAATTTTTTAGAAAGACATTGTTTAATAATGTTAATACACGGTTATGCACTTAAATGATGAAGGAAAAAAATATTGCTTTTTCTTTATACTTATACCGGTAGATTTTTAAAATTGAATTATAATAACATTTTTAATGAAAAAAACATTTATGATTATAACAGGTACAAAGATGTTTAACTCAGGCACAGGAAGAAAAAGGCTCACTTCTCGGGGCAGATCACATGATAAAGAAATACATTAAAAATCTGGAGAAAAATAATCCCTCATGCCCTTTGTGCCAACGAGGTTTCCAACAGGCCCAGGAAGTAAGGGAACTTATCCTCAAGCTTCAGGAACAACTTCGTAAAGTCCCTGTTAACATACAGAAAGCTGACGAAGACATGGATAAGTATCAAAAAAAATATGACAGCATGATGCAGTTGAGACCCATCAAAGAAAATATGATTGCACTGAAGGAGAAAGATGTCCCAAATCTTAAAGCTAAACTCAAGAAACTTGATGAGGAAATGAAGGCTTTAAAGGAAAATATATTGACCAGGGAGGATGAGTTTGGTATTCAAGAAGGAGACCTGCACACTGCCAAAAGTTTTCAGCCAGATGTCATCGATATGGATCGTCGTAGGGGAGAAGTGAGAGAGTTGCAAAGCAAGATTGAAAAACAGAGGGCATTGTTGCTGGGAGGAGATAAGGCGCGGTCACTGGACGGTGTCATGAAAGAAAGAGAGGAAAAGCAGTTAGAGTTGGACACAATCAACCGCACACTGGACCTCCGCCGAGAAAAGCTCAGCGAATTTCAGGAACAAACACAGAAGCTGAGGTCAGAAGTTCATTCCCTTCTAGCTGAGAAGTTAGCTGTTGAAGGCGATCTGCAGCAGAAGACCAAACTTGAAGAAAGGAAAGCCACATTGACAAGTGACAATAAGAACTATCAAAGGGACATTGAGGAAGCCAAAACTCAGATGAGACCAATAGAAGACCAAATTGAAAAGTTGGTACAAGAGAAAGCAGGAGTTAGTAAAGAGAAAGAAAAAATGATGGAGGTTGCCAGAGCAGATGTGGACAGTGTCAAAAATAAGGGAAATGGAGTGAAAAATCTCAACACTGAAGTGAAAAATTATATACAGTCTGGAAAGGCAGAAAAACTTCAGGCATGCAAGAAGAAAGAAGAGCAATTAGATGCTCAACGTATGAGGAAAGAAGAATTGCTTGAAATAGTTTCTAACAAGGCTAAAGAGCTGAGCAATGAAATTAGTAGTCAGCAAATACGAGAGAGAGAACTCCAAGACTCTTTACAGCTTCGAAATAAGCTGGAAGAGGTGAAAAACTTGAACTTAAAAGTCGAAGAGCTTCAAGAGCAACTTGGTGGACTGGATGTGAGAAATCTAGAGCGAGAGCGCCAGAAGTTAGTCAGAAAAGAAGGAGAGCTCGGCCAAAAGCAGAGTACCCTTCTTGGCAGACAGCAAGGTTTCAAGGACCAGATAAAAACTTTTAACAAAGAATTAGCTTCAGAAATGTACAGAGAGGCTCATCAGAAATATAAATCCAAAGTCATTGAAATTAAAACCACAGAAATTGTAAATCAAGATTTACAGAAATATTATTCAGCCTTGGACAAAGCAATTATGATGTAAGTAGAAGTTTACATTGTTATTTAGATTTTACTGCACCTGCATGATTTTCAAGGATTAGGTTTGAAACATGACATCAGTTCCGGTTTAAAAAGTGTTGTACATATTGGTTTTTAAAAGTTAATTTTGGGTCCTTGCCTAAATAGTGATTTTCCCATCTAGGTATCATAAATCAAAAATGGAAGAGATTAACATCATCATTCGGGAGCTGTGGAAGACAACCTACATGGGCAATGACATTGAAACAATAGAAATTCAGTCTGAATCTGAAGAAGCCTCTGGTGCAATGAAGGCTAGAAGAAGCTATCACTATAGAGTGGTTATGATCAAGGCTGGGATCGCCATTGACATGAGAGGCAGATGTAGTGCTGGACAAAAGGTAATTTATTCTAGTAAACTCTTGTTTTCAAAGGAAATATTTTTATTATCAATTTATGTTTCCTGAAATATCTTAACTTTAATGTCCTTGTTTTAATGCACAATATTCATGGTAAGTTTCTTAATTTTCCTTTGTTGAGACAGTTATATTAACCATGATATTAAAAACCACTTGAGATTTCATGTGCACTTACCGAGTACTGGTACCTTAAAGTTAAAGCAGATTGAGGACTCTGTGTAGTTAAGACTAGAGAGAATGATTAATTAATTCATTTTAAAAAATGAACCATGACTGCTGTACACATTTTCAACGCTAATTTAGATCAATAGCTAATCATTTATAATTACTGGTGTTAATATGATTGATTCAGTCATGTTATTGATATTTTAGGAAATTAATTTTGTGAACACTTATGTTTTCTCCCTGCTCTAGGTGTTGGCTTCACTGATTATAAGATTAGCTCTGGCAGAGACGTTCTGTGTCAACTGTGGAATCCTTGCCTTGGACGAACCAACGACCAACTTGGACCGAGCCAACATTGAGAGTTTAGCCTTAGCTTTAGTTCAGTAAGGAGCGCCTTTTTTAAAATTATGCATGAACTGGTCTGGGTGTTCAGTCAGATAAAGAAATTTTGATTGTGGAGAGGGGTCTTGACAATTAATTACCAATTTAAGCCAATATTGTCATCAGCATCTTTGACATCTTGTATTTTAAACTAATTTTTATGGAAAATGTAACAAAATTAATAAGACTGTAAATTTATTCATTTGCAATTTAACTGCTTCACTCTCTATATGTTTTGAAATTATTGATAATCCTCCCTTTTACAAGCATGGACGCTGACAAAGTAACATGTCTGGCAAAAATGATGTTTTCAAATCCTATTTTGAATTTGAAGTTTTTAAAAATTTGTATCTTATGATTATTCTTATTTATGAGTATCAGATAAAAAAAAAATTTTCTTGTCAAATCCTTTTTCGCAGCAAAGTATTAAAATTTTGCAAGAAGCTTATTGAAGAAAGAGTGAATAACTGATTTAGAGATTATTAAACTGTCAGGAATGCACACTAAATGTGTACAATTTTGTTTAGGACACTGTTTTAAAATTCAAAAATGTCTAATTGATATCATCAAACCATCCTGGAAAAGTTCATATTATTATTAATGGTCATCAGTGATAGATAAAATAATTTAAATTAGCAGTACCGTATGTATTACCTATTAACTATCAAAGCACTGTTAAAAAAAATGTCTTCATGTTTTCTATTTTTTGGCTAATAGAATCATAAAAGAAAAGCACAGCAACAGCCGCTTTCAGCTCATTGTTATAACACATGATGAAGATTTTGTGGAGCTGCTTGGGAGATCTGAATATGTTGAGCAGTTTGTGAAAGTTAGCAAGAATAAAGAGTAAGCTTCAAATTTAAATCAGATTACATCCAGCAGCTAGTGCTATTTATTCAGAGCCATTCAAACTATCAGTTGTGATGGTGATGAACCAGCAAGTTTTTCTTTATTCTTAATTGTAGTAATGCGACCATGACAGTATTTATGAAGGCTGTTGTGAAATGTTTAATGTTTTTTGATAGATGTATTCCTGAGATTGTGTAGGTTGGAAGAAACACAATTTTGGGCCATGGGAAATGCCTGTATCCGGGTGATCCAAGGAATGCCTTTGGGATGTGAATATGTTTAATGAGATGGCATGTGTTGCTTGTGTACAGTCAAGAATTCACCGAGACACAACTTACACATCAGTAGTCATTGATGTACAGTGTTGCTACTGAACACCCATTCAGACATGTGTCTGATATATAAAAGGATATGGCCCTGGATGTCAATTTTCCCAGACTGCTCTCAAACATTCTTATAATGCCAACTTGATCCTTCTGCTAGTTTATTTTTGATTCTGTGGGCTCAGTTTAAAAAAATACAAAAACAATATAGACCAATAAATTGTATTTCCCACAATAAGTAGAAAGTTTTAAGACAATGCCATTGCTTCAGGGCAGAGAGAAAAAAGCCTTGCTCTGACATTTCAGTCTGAACTATCTATTTTTATGCAATCTTAATAAACTGGATCTGAAAAACTATTTTTAGGGGTCTATGAAAATCTATTGGCATAAATTTCATGTGCATTGTTGCATCAATAACATTAATCTTTTTCATTATAGGTACATTGTACAGTACTCCCAAATTTTTTTTTAATGTAAAGATTTTCCTCAAATTTTTTTTAAAAAAATGTTACATTATATCAATAATATCATAAATCTCAAATTTAAAAACAAATAAAAACAGTTTGCAAGAGATTATACAATCTATATTTCTCCTCAACTCAAAGCCTTAAAAATGTCTTCAACTACATTTTTTTACATTTCTTTTCATCAGAGGTCTCTCAAGGCTGGCACTTAAGAAGGTGGAGGAATTACATTGCTGATGTCCCAGAGATATATTTACCAAAGGACTATATGCTGTCATACTGATGACAAAATAAATAGCTATCTATAATATTTGAGACTATTTTAGGTATCAGTTACTTAAATCATGAATTGATTTTTTGAGAATGAAATTCTGAATGAAAATCAGAAATTATGCTTTTCAAAAATGTTCATAAAAAAAATTAAGGAAATGAGTAAAACAAAGCAAGGTCAAACCTGAAAAAAGGAATGCAACAAAACAACGAAAGTGTCGCCAGGAAGCCTTCGTCAGCAACAAACAACAGAAAAAAACAGAATAAAATTGAAAAAATATAGCACTTAGTTGAGAAGTAGTATCTGAGAGGGCAGCAAAAGAATTGTGACAGAAAATAAGTAGGTGAGAGATTAAATAGGGAAGAGGGAAAGGAAGGAGAAGCTAGTCCACTGCGATTGGTTGTGGCGTGGAGGGGCAGAGCTAGCTCAAGCTGTGAATAAAGACATGACGTTCATGCCATGTGGTGTCAAGGTTCCATAGTCAGTGGACTAACTTCTCTTTTATTTCCCTATTTAATCTCTCACCTACTTTGTTTTACTCATTTCCTATTTCGCTAACCTGATTGCAGTCTCTCCCCTTATTACCGTAAAAAGTTTTACAGCATCCCGATTTTGGAATATCAACAGAATGAAAAGTTTATCATATTGTTTATCATAATTTAAAATTAAAGTGTTATTGTTAATTAGAAAATTACTCATTTGTTTTAAATTCATCGATTGGCATGACATGATTAAAAATTGTGTTTATGTCATAACAAATCTATTGCCAATGAATTTCTATTATTTTTAAGTTATAAGATAATTCAATTCATGTTGGCAAACTTGTTTTATTAAATGTATTTTTTATTTGCTCAGAATAAAATTAATAAATTAATTCATTTTTATTTCTGTCATTTTAATTTAATTGACATAAATATACATGAGGATTATACATAAATTAAAACAGTTTAGTCAGAATCATCATCACTATCTTCATCTGAATTTCCATCATTCTGTTCAGCATTTGTTTCCACCAGGCCAGAGAAGAAATCATTTTTCTTGGCTTTACTAAACTTGACCAGTGTTTTTGCCTTTTTCACAGCTTTTTTACTAGTATCAACAGTTTGACTTTTCAGCTCTTCTATGTTCCAAAATTTAACCCGTTGATCATGTGAACAGCTGGCAATGCACATATTATCAGCGGTCATACACAGAGACTCTACAGGGAAATCCCCCTCATGCTGACCAACAATACCTAAAACTCTGTTGGGTAGCACATGAACTGCTCTGTCAAAATAAAGAAAAATATGGTTCTTTTATAAACATCTAAAATGATATATAACAATTCTTATTTTTTTTAATTACTATTTTTAAGAACAACAAATATATATATATTTTTGGGGTACTTTCCGAGTCGGTTATGAAAGAAATCATGTTGTTCCAGTTTGAAGTGCTATTTAAAAATGGTTATTGTTACTATTGATAAGATGAATTTTTTTTTATTGATCTATAAAAATGGCGATGTTTTTTATGACATTGTGCATATTCATTTCAGCACATATATAATATAACAGACAACATTTTTAAATAGAACAATTTAATCATTCTTCAAATAAAATTTTTAACAATTTAATGTGTGGAAAGAAAACAGAGCTTGAGTTTATATCAATGATTGCGAGACATGAACTCATGCAAATATGAAGGGAAAAGCTCACGGCTTGTGGCAAACAGTCTTTTCAGCTTGCGCTTTGTGTGCATCCACATATTTTAACAAGTCTGTGAGTGGACACCAGTGTAATTTGGATTGACAAAAATTTTTTAATGAACAACATCGGTGTGTTTGTAGATTCGTGTCTGATCTGGCTTATGTTTGCATAAGCCGCCCATTCATCTAATACAATCAGTAACCCTGAAAGAATATATCTCTGTAGGCTCTCCTGTAACATGATGGCACATCGGTCTAGCACTTTAACGAGAAACAGCTGCCACTCTCTTTCTATGCCACCCAAAACCCAGTGGCCTTCTCGACTTTATGGGCATCAATAAAAGAATAAACCTTTAAATAGCACTTCAAACAGGAACAAGATTTGTTCATAACCGACACTGAAGTGGTAGATTACCTTTTTTCTTCAAAATAAGCCTTTGATCAGTGGTTCTCAGCCTTTGTCTATCAATTATGCATCAAGAATCTTAAATATCTACCATTTCCAATGCAATAATATTATAAACGTGATGGATGGACTTGTTTTTTTTAATGTCTGTTTTAAAATTCCCACTTTCTGAAATCTAAACTCAATTTCTTTGCTTGGATCAAAATTTTATGACAGCATTAAAACCAGGGCAGAATAAAGAGAAAAATAGTGTGTCTAGTTTTTTGAGGTCAGCAAGTATTGGTGTCTTCAAAAATCCCCAAAACTGTTTCTAACAACTTGCATTTTGAAATCTTCTAAACTTTGGTATGAAGCATTAAAAGCTTAAATAGAGCTTCTGAATATAAGACCATGGACTTTAATTCAAATTACTACAATAATAACTATTTAATGATTTGAGCATGCCATCATGAGTTACTTCGCTGGCTCCACCTGACACTATTAATGATTAAGACTGTTAGCTATGCTTTTCAAATGAACAGCACATTGAAAATAGCAATAATGCATTACTGGGGCTACACCAACTGTAAAAATAAGTTATTCAACAGACTTTACTTGTCTTTAAAGAAATGTTCAGCAACATAAACTATTGACACTGGATTAATAACTGTTTCAAGCAGTCTTTCACTTCTTCATCCAAACTTTCATCTTTTACAAAGCATACAAAAACAGTGTGCAAAGTTTCATTGGCTTTGAAGTAAATCCAATGTCATGCAAGCTCTATTTTCTTACGTTTGCTTTACAAATATTATCTTCCACACTCTCAGAAGCATAAAGTTTGATACCACCCAGACCTCACTAAATACTTAACCGGTTATCATGACATTCCAGATTTAGCAGTCTGCAGCGAGATGTAATACATGATGCATGCAAGCTATCACTAATCAGTGTTTTTTCTTCAATGGGCATTGCAAAACATGCTTGACAGTCACATTTGTAAAGCCAATTTATTATTGGAACCACTAGTGTTGTCTGTTCACAGTGCCTCCTTATGTGTATATGTGTTTTAGTTAATGGCAGCTGGTGCTTCTATTTGACATTGAAATCAAAGGAATTTTCTCTCCTCATGTACCTTAAAAATATAATCTCTGACTTGCTCTTATGTCATTCAGAAAATATAAATATAAACAGTGTGCATTCTTTCTTTACATTTTTTAACCTGATACAATTCAACAGTGCCCCTTTAAAGCTATTAACCGTTTCAGTACCTCCTGGGGCAATCCCAATATGAGAACCACTGATCTAGAGCATATGACAGATATAAATTAAAAAGATTATACCATTTCTATCAAGCTCTTTAGGCCATCAATATTTTAGAATTTTAAAAAATAAAACAAACTTACTTAATAAATCCATCATTAGTTCCTATACATAAAACATCATCTGTGATGGGCACTAAACTGTCAACCTGTGTGTCTCCACAAGGAAATCTGTCACTGATGTTACCCCATTGTCCCCAGTTAAAAACATTCAACACGCCTTCTCCTGTGCCACAAACAAGTTTTCGACCACCCTGTTGAATAAAACCAATTCAAATGTCAAGCATATAGTATTAGAATTTAATTTTATCTCTAAGTAAAAGTGCTGCATGGGTACATCTTGATTATATCCTAGATATAAAATCTAGTTTTAAAAACATACAGTATCTCTGGAGTACTAAAAATTCATTACAAAATTTCTATTACATAAAGAACACATTACAAAATAATAATAACAAACCTTCATTTTTGTCAAGCAGAGTAATTCTGAATCAAAAAGCTCTGACTGACAGTCCATTCTTTTCCTGCGGATGTTGAAAGCTGTCAAAGTGCCTTCACCACTGTAAAAACAGTGTTTAGAATTTAAGTATTTAAATGACTCCGAACAACTACTACTTTGGACTTTAAAAAAGCAATAGGCTTTTGATGTTATAAATTGGTGAAAATCAACATATTTATAAATGCTTTTCTAAAAACAAAAAACACAATTTTTTAATGTGCAGTGGTTTTTATGATCAAATAAGAATACAATACAGTGTCCATCTGGTGAGCAAATAATTTGTTTCAAGGGCCAATCATTTTGTTGTAAAGTAATCAAATATCAGTTTGGTACTTTGTGTTTATATATTTTACCTTGCAGCAAGAATAATTTTCTTATTGTCTTCTACAACCATGTCACTGATAAAATCATCACACTCCTTCATTTCCATTGTGGCATTTTTGGTTCTCATATCCCAGACCTATTGAAATAAAAATTAGATTAGATTGCTGTAAAATTGGGCAAACACAAAAGATGGTATGCATGCAATACAATATATCTATCTATCCATCCAGATTCTGAGCTTGCTTCAGATTACTTCAACATTTAGCCTCATTTTTTTAAAAATTCAGCATACCCTGGTCAAATTAAGAGTCCAATTTTGTCTTGCACGATATACACAAATAGCCTTTCTATGAAGAGGTATGTTATATAACTCAGCAGTATACCCTTTATACCAAATACTCAGTTCCCATCCATTGATGAAAATTGTTCTTATTTTTGCACAAAAAACGTACAATTTCATTCCGGTACCGGTACTTAAAATGTCAAGTCTGACATGATTAAATTAGTAAGCAAGGCAAGTCTAGCCTTTGGCTGAGCTAAGCCTAAAGAGATGTTAAGCTTTCCAGCCAGTCAGTAAAACAGAAGAAATAATTATCAATGAAAATAACATAAGAAATAAATGTATTATTTTTATATTTTAAAATGGGGCCAGCTCAATAATACAAGAGTGAACAAATAAATAAAGCTTACCTTTAGTACTCCTTCATCATCACCAGTGGCCACAAATGTATCACCTGTCAGTACCATGCTATAGATAGGAGATCTGAAGGGAAAAAAAATACTTTAAAATTTTTACTTTCTAAATCTTTTGCTTGCACTTCAAGGGAAGGTTTTAAAAACTCGCTGGATTATGTAAATCATGAATGCATGACAAAACTATGTATGTATTCAATCAGTTACAATCAGTAGAACTCTATTATTTCTAAATAATTTTGATAAAAGAATCATTAAGAACATAGAATTGAGCAGAGAGGTGAAATTACCGGCATATTTGCAGTTAAACAAAAAGTAATTTAATAAATCCTGACATACTCATGTGCCTTTTTTATTTTCTTCTTCAATTTTCCTGTTTCAACATCCACACAATACAGTGACCTATCCTTGGAAACTGAAAATAACCGCCTGCCATCTTCAGAAAAACGCAACACTCTACAAGCTTTTTTGTGGTGAATAAATTTATGTAGTTCTTTGTTGTCTTCAGTGTTGCTGAAGGAATGTCTGCAAATATGGTAAAAAAATGCATTCATTATGGTAGACTCTGTGCATTTAATAGACATATACTGATTGCAAAAATAAAAGTCACAAATGTTTCCTGATAAACCAATTTTTAGATTTCATAACTTAAATTCCTTATGAGCATGAAGTTTTAAATAAAATAGAAAAGGTCCTTATGTTATTGACATTGATAAATGAAGAAGTTAAATTTTTTTTAAAAATATATTTTAAATTATCTTTTTAAAAATAAATTATCAATCATTGATTGATAGAAGTATTACAGAAAAATATCTCCTCCAATATTTCCACAGGCTATGATATTTTCAATTGGATGGCATTGTATTGTAGTTACAAGATCATCAAATTGCAAGTCTTTGGGGCAATCATTCACCTATAGAAGTATTAAAAAAGTTATGTTATAAAAGGCTAAGATTACAAATTTACTTTGAATAATCAAGTTAATTTTGTTTAAACTTTGGTTATCTTACAGATAATATGGTTCACATAACACATTTAAAATAAAACCAATGCAAAATAATTTAAGTGAAATTATGATAGATCTCATAATCATAGGTTTATTAACTTTTTAAAAATGTGTAGGTCCTATAAAATTGTAATTTTCTGTCATCACTCCATGACAGTAGAAGTCAAATCTGTATTTTAGGGTCTTGGATAAGGTCATTAGGTCCTAACGTACCGAGTGCTTACTTGTATTTTAACATTTTTAATTACCTTACTGGTATTTGCTTGTATCTCCCCTTTAAAGACTAACTTTAAAAAAAAATTTACACATTGACTTAGGATTAACTAAATCAAACTGCCAGCAGTGAAAGTTATTAGCTAGCCTCTAAGATTAAAAAATAGAATTTTACAAGAATTTTGAATTAAATTACCAATCTGCTGTCATCTAGATATTGACATTTTCAATTAGAATCACAGAAAAGATCTCAGTTATAATATATTATTATTACAATAGAATTATAAATCACCAAATGAGATTTCTGCCCTGAGGCTGAAGTTAATTTTTGTTGTAAAATTTGTTTCAAGATAAATGGTTTTTATTGAGGTAGGTTCTCTTGTTACCAGTATCTATCAATTCAATGAATAGTAGAACTATGAGCACGAATATGATTACTATGGTCACTATAGATCAGTGCTGTCCAATCTTTTTGACTGGGTAGGCCAAAAAAAAAAAAAATGTTCTGCTAAGTTGAGGTCTGCAAAGAAAGAATTTTTGTTCTTCACTTTTTAGAAAACATTCACTTAATTAATACTTCTTCCCGTATGCATAAAGCCTCATATATCCAGTGGCATTATGGGCTCATTAAGAAAAAAATGAAGGGAATAAAAACTGACCCCCCTTTTAAAGATATATTTTGTTTTGAATTGTACTATCAATTTTCCTATTTTGAGGTAGTTATCGGTAGCTTTCATTAGATTTTTTAAATTTTCAACAGTCGAAGTTTTAATTTTTTGGACTTAATGTTGGTAATTAAGGAGGATCCAGCATCACTGAAGTAGGGTGATTCCAAAAACAAGGTCAAAATTTCGTTCCAACATATCCATAGTTGTGGAAAGCCATCAGAAGAAACATATGTCATTTGGCCACGTTTTCTTATTTTTGTTTATAAAAAATACTTTCAGGAATCGTTTCGACTGTCTCTCACAATTCAGCCCTGACTGAAATGCATTAACTACAAACAAACACAGCTTGTGTCCTGTTTTCTACCCATTGAACATCTCATACTCCTTTCTCTGAATACTATCTATTTGTCCCCCAACGTCACAACAATACAGGATGGATACACACTCTCCTATACCTGGCTAAACTACATGTTTAATAACATAACATGGTACCATAAATAGTTGACACTGCCCATCCTCATCATCCAATTGTGACACCTCTAGTGCCCCAGCTCCTATCTCAAATCCTCTGACTTCCTGTCATATTATTATCATCCTACAAAGTGCAGTACAGGTACCGTAGTTAACTTGAGGTGCTCACCTATCTATTTCATATTACAATCACTTATTACTTGGTCGAGTTTTTTGGGGATTGGAATTTTTACAATTACCAAATAGCTACTTTTGGTTTTCCTATTCATCTTTCCCAACGTTGTTAGTGTAATTATACCTGATACCCCACAACAACTAACAAAAAGAACGAGAAGATAGTATTCAATTTTATGGCACCCAAATGGTTGCACCGCTTATGTGCTTAACATAAATTACTACTGGTACTACCTCAGACTAACTCTAACCATCTTACTCCTTAGCTATTGTTTCCTCCCACTTTTCCATATTACAACTTCTCCTATGCTCTCACATAATTTCGCAACAATACTAAATTAATGAATGTGGTTTGAAAATATTTTCACTCTAAAGTGTTTTATTTTCTACACATATCATACAAATTTCTCAAGCTGTGACCAGCGAGGTGGACAGCACTGCTATTAGTGCTATAGATAGTATTAATTACTATTGATAATTGATGATAATGAAATAAAATGTTGAGTATACTTTGAATTGATAGATAACAAGAGGGCCTACCTCAACAACAACCATCTATCATTAAAAGAAATTTGAGTAAATACAACCCCTCCACCTCCCCGAGCACAGTCTGTCCATCATGGAAGTCTGTGTTTGAGATGGACTGGGTCCTTGGTGTAGGTTGTTTCACAGGTTTATAAAACAAATTAAAATGTGTTTGAACTGTTTGCTTAATCTTTAGTCAAATTTAAATATTGAGATTGTACAATTGATGTATCTAATGTTTGATTGCTTATTTTTGAGTGCAAATGATTCTACAGTGGTCAAAGGAATAGACCTTAAGCTACTGGCCTTTGGCATTGAATGCAATTTCATGATATTTTCATCTAGAACCACAGTTTCCAAATTAAAGCCATTTCTATTTTTACAAATGTGTCAGTGTCTCCATCAGTTAGTCTGGAAGAATACCCGGTACCGGTAATCCTCAGCCTGAAGTTTTTAAAAATAAATATTCACTTATTTTACTCTAAATACGAAATGGACACTACGGGTATGAAAGGCGATTTATGTACATTTTTAAACGGTTTTCATATATCCAATCCCTGTATTTTGAAGCATTCATTTTAACCACGGTACCTGTATTTTTTAGAGTCGGGATCCCAGCGTGTGACTCATAATGTGCTTGCGCAATAAATTTTAAACTTACTATGAGCCTATTTAATTTATTATAAGAATACTAAAGAAGTATACATCGAAATTTTAGCTGGATTTCGGTTAGCAGTAAGGCCGGCAATGTATGCCACTGTATTACTGAAAAATCTGGTTATAAAATGTTTTCATTACCAGTACCCTGGTAATCTGGTTATAAAATGTTTTCATTACCTGTACCCTAAAATTTAAAAGCCTTTTAAAATAAATAAATCACTGTGCCACTTTGCTACTATAACTATAAATGTGATTTTGACAAGTTTTGACTTCAAAATCATGCTGATGAAAACATTTCTCAAGTTACAAGACCTACGATTACTAAACTTACTACTCGAAAAAAGTCGAACCCGCTTATCTCGACCTCGGTTAACTCACCAACCCTGTTGTGTTGAAGTTTTTTTGGAACCGCCAAATTCTCTCTTTGTTTTGTCTCAGCCTTTTCTCCTCAGTTATCTCACTCATCGGTTATCTCGACGCTTTTTGGCAAACCCCAAGGCCAAAGACATAACAGAGTTCTACTGTTATTCATTGCAATTAAGTATATTTAACAGGACCTGGCGGAAGTTGCCGATACTTAGGAAATATTAATTTATTACCACTATTTACATCAAAATATTTGATATCTTGTTTTTCAGAATGCATTTTGAAGACATTTAAATTTAAACTGGAATGTTTTATTTTGAGCTTTAACAACCGGGTAGAATCCATATTATAAATGATCAGAATTTACCGTGTGCAAGATGTTGTCATTGGCAACCATTCACAGCCACTTGCATAATGGCTGTATCGTAGTACTACCTCAGAGTTTCATTCATAAGAGTTTGCCGTGTGCAAAAACTACTATACCATTGGTCAGGGAAAGCTTTAATTAATTATTCATGTGCCAAAGTTGAAAGTTTAAACTAAGTCGACCCTAAACAGTATTTTAGTGATAAGGCGATGCGTTGCCTTATATAAAGTATATAGTCATTGCGCATGACGCAATCAGTGGAATGACATGAGGTCACAAGATGTGGAGTTTCGTCCATAGTCTGAGTCTGGCATAGTAAAAAATACCAAATGAACTCCCACTTTAAAAATTCATAGCTCAAAAAGTACTGACTTAAAGTTGATTCTGGTTTCATTTTTGTATTTGAAATTTGCTCTAACTGTGTTATTTAAAAAATTATTTCAATTTTTTTTTAATTTTGTATATTCAAGTGCCTATACTATACTATAATTTTATAATTTATAATAAACCTAACCTGAACCCTAAATTATCCCTATCCCTAAACGCCTAAACCTAACCTGAACCCAAAAGAATAAACACGCAAATGACGTCATGGTGATATCTCTTAGCATTAGCCAAACACTTTATAATTTGTCCAAAGATAATATATCGAAACTATTAAGAAAGCAAACGTTCCACTCATAATAATAATAACATGCCTGGATGTGAGCAGCCATTTTATTGTTCAAAATGATGAGTACGGCGGACGGGACAAACTTCTTTACCACTTTAATTTTTTTAGATATAAATTCTATTTAAAATAATATTAGCCAGGAAGTGTATTAAAAATGTTTGATTTAAGTAAGACTATCAAATTTAAGTGAATTGTGTTTTTTAAAGAGGTAAACTTTTAAAATAAATGTTCAGCACGACTTTTTAAATGGCCGGTATACGTTGAATGCGACGGTAAACCGAACTAAACAAAGGTTATTTACCGAGAAGGTAAAATGTACCACGGAGGTAAACGTAGGAAATCCTAGCTGTTAACGTTAAAAGCATAATGTTAAAAGCATAGACTAATGCTCAGTTCACATGATCAAATTTTAGTAAAATTTCTTTTTGGATGCATTAATTTGTTTTACTAAATATATATAGTGTGTTCAAAAAGGTATTTGACGAAAGTTTGATGGTGTGAACTGAGCATTAGAGATCAGGTAATTTCTATTTTGTACAAGTAACGTCAATAGCCTAACCTACAAAATTGAGGAAAATAGTTCCCTTTTCTATGCTTCAAAACTTTTGCATTATTATATTATTTTTAAATGAATTTAATATTTTAAAACTTATTATATCATCATTTTAGGATGAAATATTTTTTTTTTATATAAATGATGATGAAATAAATGTCAAATAGGGCATGAGAATTAATTGAAACCCGAAACATGTGCACAACAACTGTTTTATCTTCCACTAGAGCAGTGTCAGGAGTGCGGGAAGAGCCACGAAATCATGTTTATTTCAAAATGTATAATAATTTTTCAATCATGAGGATGCTGGAAAAGTGTTTTGAAATTGAGACTGCAGGATTTTTTTTTATTAAGAGGGGATGCGGCGCTACAAAAGTGGCAAAAATCTGCACAATTGTTACGAGATTATTAAAGTTAAAGTCTGTACACATTTTAAAAAAAAAAACAATATTTTCAAATTGACACATGCCCGCTATCTCGAAACAAGCTCATAATTGTAGTTTTAGCTGTTTACTGCAGCGTAAAAGATGCAAGATGAAAAGAATCTACTTTAAATAATATTTAGTGAATCTGCACTATTTTGAAAATAAATTAATAATTTATTTAGTCACAATGTCGAATACGGAATGCTATATTCAAAAGACATAATTAATTTATGCCAACAGCCAAGGTTACCAATTCAAAAAACTATGGAGCTATAATAATAGGGTGACCAAATCATGAATTGGAAAAAACAGGACACGCCCAAGGAGGGTTGGGGGGTATGATACCCTCCGCTAAAGTGAGGTCCGGGGGCCTCCGTTGGAAAACCGTTTAACTATTTTGAGACCTAGAAATCTTTTTGAATTTACCTTCACTTTTGTAATTTAATTTAAACTCTGAGGCATATCATAAACGAAAACAATAATTTTGAAGTGAATATTTATTGATTTTTATAACATAATACAACACAACAAATTAAATTTCGCTAGTCTATGATTTAAATTGGGGATATCTGGCTGTTGTCTCAGCCATTGTTAAAACCTACTTCTTATATAATAAGTGAAAATGGGTTTGGTTTTAGAAACGTGACATTCAGGCGTCCCGAGAGACTTTTTCGGGACACCGGGTACTATCGTGAAAAAACGGGACGTTTTGTCCCCCTAAGCGATATACTGTATATCTATGTTGTTGCTGTTTTTTCCAATATCAATCTTTATAAGACTCTATAACTAGGGGCGGATCGAGGGATTAAACTGGCCAGGGGGATCTTCGTTGAATCGGCTTGGGCTCCCGGCATATTTTTACCCATTTTTAGAAAATAATCGAAAATAAGTGTGGGAAAACTTTCTAAAAGGATGCAACGAAACTAACTATGAATATTTTTTAATGTATTCCAGATTTTTTTCAATTGTAAAATAAATCAGTACATTTTAATCATAGTCATATAAGTGTCCTAAATAATAAAATGTGGGCCCACATAATACAAGGAAACCGTTTATCATACGACATGAACGAAGTTTGGGATACTTATTTTTACGTCCGACGTCAATGTAGCAGATACTTATTATTTTGTTAATATTTGTTACTTCCGGACTTTACCTTTTTTTCTTATTTGATCGATAGATAAATCCAGTCCGTTGTTGGGGTCTGTTGATTTGTACTTTAGTTTGTCTACGAAAAGTACATTTACAAGGTGTAACCAATCACATCGACAAATACATTCAATGTTCGCTTGTATGCTGTGGACGCTGTGGTTCAAGATTTTGAATTATGGCTAATCAAGACTAATCAAGTTATTATAACATTTAGTGACAGTGTTAGTTCAGTGTTTCATTTTAATATTTTTTAGTTGAGCTCAAGACCCAGACTCCAAGCAAGATTTCTTAAAACTTTTTGACAATATAGCTGCAAATTCATATATCATTCTGTAGCATCTTGAGAGCTCATAGAATAATAATTAATTCACAAAATATACAAGTATGGCAAAGATTAAAAATAGAGGCACAGTAGAAGACCTAACTTTAAATGTTCCATTTTGGCACTTTGCCATTGTAACAGTCTCTTTGCCTGGTATATCATTGGCTGTGTGCTTTATTACAGCATTTATATTTAGATTTGAAGATGTCAACGAAACAATGTGTGAAGTAAGTGGTTTATAATATGCAGGTTTTATATTTTTATTAGTTTTTTTTTAGATTTAGCTAGGTACTACAAAGAATTTACACTTCATATTTTTTTGCATCGAGATGAGTGAGTTCCCTTTTGTTTATTCTTGATCTTGGATTGCTTCTTGAGTTAAATTTTCTTTTTTCTTTTAAATATTATTAATACTTCGATTGGAATGTTGCTAATTAATATTTCATTGAATGGTTAATTATAATAATTAAAACGAGAAAATTTTTTATAGCACACATGTGTAAGTTGATGGAAGAGAGAGACACAGGTCTATGACACTTCTTGCAGCATATCCAGAGGGATACAATAAAGTTGCTTTGTAACCTGGAATAAAGTGTGTAAAAGTGTATTCTGTGATGGCATGGGAGAATAGGGGGAAACGTCAAATTATAATTGCCAGTACTACGATACTCATTCGTACATCCGTTCTGCACATGGGCAGATAAATAAGAGTTTTTAAAAATTCACCAAAAAAATCACCATAACTTAACTTCTATAAAAGCTAGAAAGATGAAATTGGTGTTTTTTATAAAACTTATAGCTAACCCTCTAAAATGGTGTTTTATTTATGGCAATAAGTCATTATTTTAGTTTTCTGTCAAAGTACCTGCTCTAGGCAGTCTGTAATTATTTCTTAGTTAAATTTTTCTGGTCAGACTTTGAAAATTCCAGCACTATGACTTTTTGTTTTATTAAACCTATGCCTATAAATTGTGATTTTATATTGAGACATGTGACAATAATTGTTGCAATAGCTAAATTTCTTTTCAATGCATTTTAATAACAGATTTTTTTTACTATTCCAGTTATAATTGTAATTTCTAAGCTAATTGTAATTCATTGTATTAAAAAAATCATTAGTCTGTCCTGGACATACATACATGCCAAACCTGTATGGTTTACTCATACTTTGTATAGTTTTTAGGAATTTTAAATGGTAAAGGTGTACGGCCATACAGGGTATAGCATGGTTTTTTAAGGATTCAAAAACATTTTAAAATTTGTAAAAATACTTTTTGGCACACTACATAATAAATTCATCGTAGGTCAAAAGAAAGCTAAAACCTATTGGTATGCTCAAAAAGACCTTTGGCGTAATTTTTTTTTTGGTAGGCCAACTAAAACATAGAATCCGATCGAGGTTCAGCTAGTATTTACGTAAAATACTGGTACCTATTATAGGAATCATTAGGATTTTAGCTATTTTGAGTTGTAAACAATAATTACAAATCCATTTTTGTAATTATCTTAGAAAAAAACTGCATTTTCAATCAGTATTTTTTTAATGTCTATTAAATAATTAAATGTATGTAATATCACTAACAATAAATAGCTTTATTAGTCATTATGTCTATTACTAGTAATATACACTGGCATCACTAAATTTAACATGTTAACACTTCTAAAAACTAAAGCAGGTGCGATTTTTCTTCATTGTTTTAGTTGGCCTAAATTTGATCGACATCAGTATGTATGTTGCATTCTTTTTTTTTTTAAATTATTTTACTCCAGCTGGAAAGTCCCAATTAATTAAGGGGGTGAACTTGATTAAAAAATATTTTAAAAATTAAATTAGGAATTACACATGCACTGGGGAAAGTTTCTAAGTATATATCTGACCGAATAATATGGAATTATTTAGGCTTCATCAATCGGATTATTGCATGCATTTTGCGAAATTTGCAAAAAAGACATTAAAGGACATTTGAAAAAATAGCTACACGAAGGAAACTTTAAGGCAATGAAAGGAAATTATACCACCATTAGCCAATAGGCATAAATCCTTCTTTTCTCAGCCCCATCATTTAGATAGTCTTTCCAATAAAGATACACATCTTATTTTTAAATTTCATTCCTAGCCCATCCATAAGACACTTGTTTGGGTTTTCAAATAAATACAGAAAATATCAAGAAGGCAAAGTTTGCAATCAAAACATTGATTATTATCTCTTTTTAAAGACTTTTTCATGTATCATTCTGCACAATTATTTACGCTCTTTTACAGTTTTATTATGTGTCTTGTTTTACCATTTTTAATCCTGCAGGTTGGCATGTATGTTGAAATATCCTCTGAATATGAACCAATGTACGCTAATAGAAGAATAGATGTATCATCTAAAATTTTGTGTTGTGACACATGTTAAAGGTTCCTCTTAAAAATCCTAAATCATATTCCACAGTTGAGGGAGGGACTGATTTTAACATTCAACTTCCTTAAGCCTGAATATTAGAATGCTCATTATGTTCCATGCATAATATGTCTTTCTGCCCCAAGCTAAAAATAAAAATTATATATGAAACAATTTAGAATGTGCTAGAACATGAGTTATAAGACATCCTTTATTTTATTCGTTATATCTCCAACCTCAAGTTTTGTATAAATTTTGAGAGTCAAAGCTAGTTACAGTTTGAGAAAGCTAGTTGCAGTTTCAGAAATTGAAGTGTTACAAACTTTAGGTTTAATTATTTTACTAAACTTTCATTCTGAACTCGGCTTTTAAAAAATTTCATACCATTGCTTGTGACCAAGAGAATTTGTGATTTTAAAATTGTTAAATGTTACTAGTACCAAGACAAATTTCGGAAACACTTAATGTTGATCTTCCAAACAACCATGTCAATTTTTAAAAAACAATTTAAAAATTCAAATAAACTTAATTTTGAACAGAGAATAAAAGTTAAAATAGTTATAAGTTGTAGAGCATTTCCAAAGTTAAAGAGGAAAACGATGTAAAACTTTCATTAATGCTATTACTAATATAAGCATACAATATTTTTAAAAAAATAGTATTACATATTGCTTCCCAGGACTGAGATTTTGTTTGGTCATTTTTTACAGGTGAAGAATTTCATCCCCTCTATTAGTGCTGTCACTGGCATAACACCACAAACATACCTCTGGCGCACATGCATAGCATTACACTCAGCGCCTAGATTTGCAGTGAATCTCATCTACTACAACCACTATGTCAGTCAGATACACAGAGTTCTCCCACACAGAATCTCAAAGTACAAGTTCCTCATCAAGCTGAACTACTGGCTGAATTTTATAGAGAACTCATGTCTTACTTTGGTGGCATACATCACTAATCGGGAAAACTATCGTATGTGTACCTTAAAATTTCGCATCATTTATTATTGTGAGCTGTTCTTAATAACTTATACACAGCACCTTTATCGACGCAAATATTTCTATAAAACTCTCTGCTATTTTTTCTCTGTTACCAGCAAATTAAACGTATTGACATTCAGACATTGAATTTTGACATTATATTCATTACCTAGGGATTCCACAGAATAGCTAGGTATTCTATAGAATTCCCATCAGCCTCTGCTAATAGCCCCTACTTTTTCAATCCCCCTTTACAAACATCATTAATATTTAACCATCATTCTCCCTTTCCCTAGATTAGTTTCTTTATCTAATCAACCTTATTTGAACCATTTGATATTGATCACTTTCATATAACCTTATAATAATTTTAAAACTTGATATTCATTGCCTGTCCCTAATGCTTCCCATTACCTTTATCCTTGTGTAGAATTTATCTATATCCGATTATATAATCTTGTATAAATAATTTAAGTCAGAGTAATGGAAGAAAATAATTATTTTTTGTACAATGAACAATGAAAAGATAGGAATATGAAAATGTGTTGTCTTATTATTGTTACAATCATTACTTGTTAGCTTTCCTGACTTTAGTATTAAATCACCTTCTAGTTATCAGGAATAACAAGATATTTCCTTGGCATTAAAAAACATACAAACAAAAACTAAAATTCTATGTTGTAATTCATTGGTTATCAATTTTCATTTAACAACTCAATTATGTTTCAGCTGTACATGAAAAAATCTTTGTTGTCTTTATGGTAACTTCATTATGCTACATGCTTCTTAATACCATCCTCTTTAATTGGAGCCGTTCTGGAGTGTTTACAGAGACAGTAAGTATGTCTTTGCTTAATCAATATGAACTGAGTTCTCATAAGATCAAAGTTGACCAAATTTTATAAGGTATATGCAGATTGTAAAAAACATGTAGGCATGCCAATTTAAGCCACTGTAAGTGTAAGAGTAAGAAGCGTTCTAAATGTCATTTGTTTTATTTAGTATTTTTTTGGACTAGTTGAGATTTGTTGATTTTATAGGCCTTACATTTTAGTTTTTATAAAAAAAAACAACTAAATTATACTTTTCTGAAGTAGTAAAAGTAAGGAAGTTATACTTGTCAAATATTATAATTAGATTCCTTAACTAGTTTCTATACTTTGGGAAATTGATAATTTCACTTTCTTATTATTGGGCTTTGGTACTTTAGAAAGAAAAATTTGTTTGGTGTCTCTGATGGAGCAATGAAAATATATTAAGTAATTTTTTTGCTTGTGATTTTTTCAATATGTCTATGAAACTTTAAACAAAAATAAATATTTACTAACAAAATTTAATGTAATTTAAATTAATATATATTTTTAAAATTTATTATTAACAAAATACAGTTACAAATATATTATACAGTTTAAAAAAATATTTTATAATATTTATTTTTTTGGGTACATTTTCATTAAGTTTAAGTTTAATCACAGTGAAAGTATGGACTAGTTTAATTTCATTGATACATTTTGATTAAACATGAATTTAGCTGGAAGAATTTGAAAATGTAACATTCTTGGCCACTTTTAACCCATGAACTATGGTTGGCCGAAAAAATCGGCCGACATTCTCGTTCTGTACTGTGTGTAAAAAAACATGGTCTGAAAGCAACTTCCAATCCAATATTTAACGGGAATTATAGCCACTTCCTTTTATTAATAGTTAAATCATCTTCCGGTTCAAGCTGTTTCGTGGTAACGGGAAAATAAATACTTTTTGATCGCAGTTTTATATCGCTATTTTTTTTAAAGCTAAAATGGATGACGCTATGGCTGGGTCTCCAGTGCAAGAACTAATAGAAATAAGTTTGAAAACTTTTTAGGAGAGGTTTTAAGTGATACTGATGTTGATTTTAACATTCCTCGTGATGATATCAGTTGAGATTATTATTTTCTTGAAATTTTTACTAGTTTTAGTGATACTGAAGTAGGCCTACTGAGGCTACTGTTAGACTTCGAGCCAGGCCCGGAGGTTGGGCAAGGACTAACTGAATTTTTTTGTCACAGAAGCTACAGGTTATAGATTATAGTTAAACAACCCAAATCAGTTCCACAGTTCCTTTTTAAATGTTTACTAGTCAATAATAACAATTTTGCCTGAGCTTTTGAATTTTTACTTGGTTTTAGCAGTGGTCCCAGTTTCTTATATAAATGACCTAAAATTACTAAAATTGCTCTCAGAGGTTTAATTGCAATAAAAACCTTAGCAAACTATACATTTTCTGAAAGATAAATGAATTGGCTACAATGTTTAGATTTGTGTTTTAAGTGTACCGGTATCTATAAAAAATAATGATGTTATGAGCACTTGAAAGCAAGACATTTTGTCGAATTTTTTTCTTGAGAATTCCAAGGTCAAGGACACTGAGCAAATTTTTTTTTACGGGGTCGGCAATATGGCCAACTTTATCCCCATCCATTTACCTTTCTAAAAATATACACTTATTGGGGTATTGTATCAATATTTCTAAGTCATTTAATGCAATTTCAAATGTCACCCAAAATGCTCTGAAAAGCTCCACAACACAGAATAATTCATGCCACAGTTCGTGGGTTAAAGACATTGCAAGCTGAATAACTCATAACACTAGATGAATGTCAATTCTATTGATTTTAGATTAAGAATATTTGCTAAGTTGGATAATCGCTGAAAATTGATTGAAATCTCCATTTCACCACCCCTCCTCAGGAGAAAACTTCTTATTATTGGAAAAAGGTCATGTTTGCTTCCATAGCAACTGCAACTGCAGGTCTTGTTTTCTTCTTTATTTTACACAGAATTTACTGCGTTGTTGGGGGTAAGTTTCCATGACAACTTCATTTTAAAATCCACTACTGTCGAGACTCTTTTATCCAGACTAATTGAGAATGGGTTGTTCGGATTATTGATAATCCAGATAAACGATGACATACTATATGCAACAAAATAAAATGGGCTTTTCTATAATAAAAAACTTTAGTAGTGTTTAAAACCTGAACATAAAGTTTAATGTCTTGGATTTTCTTATGTGCTTGTTTTTTTATCTTACTCAAAATTCGGCCATGAGATGATTCCAATCCTTGTCAGGTTAATTCATACATTTCTGAGTAAAAATACAAGTCTGGATAACCGAATTCCAGATAACCAATGTCTGGGTGTTCTAGTTTCCACTGCATTCTTTTTATTAATAGGTTATATATAAATTATTTTTGTTTATTAATTTATTTATTAACAATATTTTTATTTTTTTAACAGTTTATTTATTATTTAAATGAATTTACATTTACGTACACAATTCATTTTAATTTTTGATCACGGTGCCCCCCCCCCCTCCCCACCTAACCTCTTTTCCATTCAAAACATAATATTTTTTTGCTGGTAAAGTGATTGTATATAATAAAAATCATTTTTTTAAAACTTTCAGCCTTCAGTGTATTCTCAGTATGCGAGTACATCATAGCCTACACTAATATGGGCTATCACTTCACTGGCTATTTGGACTTTAAAGATCACACATTTATGTTTGGCCTGTTATCTTCAGATGTCCGCCACAGCAATGGAGCAGCAGTGACCAATAATAATACTAGAAGCAAGAATAAAGTTCAATGACATTTTTTTTTGTTGAAATTTGGAAATAGTTCTTGGCTGTGTTGTAATATCGTTGAAGTAACCTCATTCCGTTTGTGATTTCACGTAGTGAATACTCATAAAATTATATTAGAATTATCTTTAATTTCCCCTTCCATTGTCTTTTTCATGTATTGCTTTTAGCAGTCACCATCTGTGGCAAATTGACATTTAAAAAAATATATATTTTCTTACCGCAATTATTTTCTAAAATTTAAAAAAACACATTTTGAAAACTAAATCAAAAAAGATATTTAAAAAACTATACAATAAAGGCACAAACAAGATCATTTGCGCTTATTGCTATTGAATATATTGAGCTACTGTTTTACCAGTTTTTAGTCCAGTGAATTTGCTATTTTAATTAAAAAGATGGTTCTGAAATGATACATTTTTTTTTGGATACAAGAATGTATGCGATTGTTGCAGGTGTAAGAAACAAAATCAATAAATACAGTATTCCAGTTTTAAAAATTGAATTGCTGAACAACAAATAACATTAAAGTTTATAAAGCCCTTTAGCTGAAAATGATTAACTGGGTAAATGTAAAATTAATTTCCTCTCCATTTAAATGGAAAATACGAAGATCTGTTAGTAATATATTTTAAACTTGTGCAGGGAAATTTGCATACATGTCTCAAATAGGCATTACTTAATTTGATTTTGTTTTTTTCATTTTACAACGCAATAGTGCAATAGTGTTCTACTTACCTCTTAAATCTATTTTTTTTTTGTTTAAAGTAGGGGTACTTATCAGAAAGATGCTTATCTTAATTTTAAATTAAGATTACAGCTCACCTGAGCTCTGGCAAATGTAAATTATAATTTTTTTTAATTTTGCAGAATGATCTCAACATATTTTTTAAAAAATTTTTGGATAACAGGCCACATCCATGTCAGCTGCAACTGAACAAGTCATTTACAATATTTTTAAAATAATCGGATTAAACAGCAAATTTTAACATTGACATTTTTTTTCTAAAGCAAGTTATCTTTGACATGATTAGAAAAGAATTATTTTTCATAAACAGATTTTTAGAATGTATAATTCTACTTTTGTATTACATATAAATGGGTGATCGCCTTTACTTTTTTCAGTTTAAGATAAGATTATTTAATTGATCCAAGAAAATGGAATTTTTTTTTATATATATATAACAATGCATATGCTCATTTGCAGCACATAGGTGAAAATTCCTAACAAGACAACATTTTTAAACTAGAACAATTTAAACAAAAAACATCTGAAGATTTTCTCAAGTGCAAAAATCAGCCATAGGGATTCACACTTTAAGAGTTATCATTTAGATTTTGTAACAGCACGCTGGTTAATTCTGACAGATGAATTTGTATATCTTTTGGTCCTAACTTTTTATGGAAATAATTTGCCCTGATCAAGCTGATCTTAGGCATTGGCGATGAAAAGAATGGAATGTATCCTCCAATTTTTTTTTAGTTTCACAATGCACTTTGCTACGAATAGTTCTTTGAGTGAATTTAGTTTTGTTTGAATCATATTACTGGCTTTCTTGATAAGTCTGTTTAATTGGTGTTTGATGAAACAAATTCCCACACCAGAAAATAATACTAAAGGTCAGTAGGCTTCCAATTGTAGCTCTGTAGAATATGTTTGTAATTTTTTAAACAGAAAAGTCTTTGGTTAACTTTTTTCTACAGAACTAGGCCCTGGTTATGTCAAATTAGCTTATTATTTATAGTGACACCGAGTTATTTATATGTCTCTCCTTGCTCTAGACACTTAAGACTTCCAGCACTGCTTATCTATGTCATGCATTTTTTAAAAATACTGTTAGCTAATTTTTTTTTCAAGCACTGTCTTGCTTTAAAAAATGCTTCTTGCAGTATTACATTTACTCTAAAAAAATTAATTGAAAAACCTCAAAATTATTTTTTAAATTGCCTATTGTAATATTTCATTGTACATAGTCATTACCCATTCAGCTATTCTTACTAATCAATATTAGTGGCATACAAATATAAGCTCTGTTGGTTTTTTTTCTAACTTGCCATCTTTCAGAATATTTCATTAAAGCTTTGCTTACCAATGACTAAACAATACTTGCCAACAATAAATTGCTTTTAATGCAAAACATAAGCATTTAACTTCAGAAATGTTGAAAATAACAACAGAGGATCCAGCAAAATTTAAGCAAAAAGATGGAATCAAAGTTGTGTTTCAAAGTTGTTGTTATGAACTCTTAGTGTAATCACTCTAAATGTCATGATTACTTGTTATTGTATGATAAATATATATATCATTGTCTATGCTTGCCTTCAAATAACATTACTCATGTGAGCTCCACCCACATCATTTGCAAATGTGTCATGTGATCTAAGATATGACATTCCTTGTAACAGAATTGTCTTAGTGTATAACTTAAATTTATAATCTTCACACTGCCTCACCAGTTTGTAGATGCAGATTGCTTCTCGTCACTACTCATCTCATAACTGTATTATTTCCTTGCATAAGATATCTCACCAGGCTACTTGCACTTCTGTCACCCCATATCAATATTGAAAACTCTTCAAAATCAGGAGGCATTGTTTTATGATACTGCATAATCTTTTAAACAGAGAATCCTTCTAATGATCAATGTGCTTGTCCAAATATTATTTTGATGGAGTTGTATGGTTCAGTCCAACTTGTGACATGTTAAATTAAAATAAATTTGAAAGACCAGTTAATAAATGTACATTACCAATAAAGAGAACCTAAATGGAGCATAAACATTGTTGTAACAAGTCTCTATATATTGGATTTGCTACCACCACCAGTGAAATATATCCACAACCAGCTAATTTAAAAGGATTCATCATAAAGTTAAGTTTAAAATCATCATATGATAAATCATTTTAAAAAATGAAATTTAAAAATAAAGTTTTCCCACAATTTTCTTCTTCCTCATCACCAATGAATTTCAAATTAAATCATCTTTTTTAAAAAAATCTCCTTTTAACAAATTTCAAGAAGTGACTCAATAGTTGTCATCGCAGTTTAAAAAAAACCAACACTTTAATTCATAAACAAACCCTTAAAAACTTCTATGTATTGATGTTTATTTACTTTGTCATTTAATGAAAGTAAAAGAATGTTTATGTTACATATTTATAACTATAGCAGAGATTTAAGCAGTAGTCAGAAATATAAGCTTTTTTTAATGGTCTGCCAAACAGATGTATTAGATTTCACTATGTAAAGTATGTTTTATTTTATTATAACTTTAAAATATTTTTTTCGATTACTGAGTGATGTATTTTTGATGTTCCTATCAGAGAATTCCACTGTAAGAAGCAATCATATTGTGGGCCTTAATAGTATTGAAAACATGATCCTTCTTGCATTTTGATTGGAATAATCAATGCTCCACTGTTAAAAAAAAAAAAATCTTTAGTAAGATATATGTAAGCAAAGATGCAAAAGATAACTATTTTGTGAAAACCTACAATTTTCTTGTACACAAACATATAATTTTATATTAGAAATCACCATTACTTGTTCATATAAATATACATATAAATGATATATATATTTCTTCTCAATAAAATACATTTTACTCAGTAAACAAAAAATATGTATGCTATGTTATGCTTTAAATTAGGATATTTTACAAGTCTTAGCATTTTATTTACTCAAACTAGAAAGCATTTAATTTGTACCTTCTTATAGTTATATATCAGTCATAAATGTTAAAGCTCCTTTTAAATAGTGTCTGTCTAGTTTTATAGTGTTATTTGTATGATGTATTATGTTTAATATTTATTATAATATTTGTAACATTTGTCTGGTATTCACACTGTTATTTATATCTTACATTTTATAAATTATTTATTTATTTTTTTTCCAAATTCAACAATACTTTGTGCCTCTATTTTTTTGTTCAATGTAACTATTTATTATGCTGTGGTGGTATTTTTTTACTTGGGAAAAGTCAGTTAAATTAATCATCCTATTAAATGACATACAGTTTAAAACCAACACTATAAAATCTCCCTCGCAAGCACACAATTTGCAAGCAGCTTAAAAGTTTTCTGGTGTTCAGAAAAGAAGTGGGAGATAACTTATTAAATTTTAGTTTTTAAAAGTATGAGCTGCTGGTGGTAGTTAAAATGTTTGAGGGCTGAGAACAGCTGGATGGAGAATAGGCTAACGTATCAAGTTTAGCTATTGTGGAATTTCGTATTATATTTAAAATTGACACATATTTGTTAACACTTAAGTGTATTTGTTATTTAGTTAAGTTTTCAGTCTAATTTATTTGTGTGTACAAAACGGTTATTATAGATTTCAATACCGGTATTCAATATATTCTGTGCCTACATTTTGTGTTTATATTTTTGCTTTACATAAAAGCTTTGTACATTTTTGCTAGTCTATGTCTTCTTTAAGATTGTTTTGTTCTTAAAATTATTCAATAAAAGTAATTTGATTAGCAAATATTTAATATAGTTCAATATTATTACATTTTAGTATGTTAGAACAAATTAGGAACAATTTTTTACCGCTCATTTATTTTTTATTTCAATTTACAGTGGAATTTGAATTTATCTAAATAGGATAGAATTCTTTAAAAGTAATAAAAGCCTGAAATGTTTTTGTTTTTTTGTGTGTGCTAAATTGTACATAATTTGTAAGTGCACATGTTTTTTTTTCTTCTGTTTATTGGCAGGCGCTCAATGTCATGTATGACAATATTAACATACCCCTTGATTGTCCTGACACTTAAAGACATTACTTAAAAGTTAAAGGTGGTAGTCTTTCAATGCAACACAACAGCTTAAAAATTCACCACCTGTCGAGCTTTTGCAAAGTTTAACTTCTTTCATCCATGCTTTGTTTGAGTGTGACTTAATCAAAGTTTGATTAAGCTTTATCTAATTTTACTTGATGTCTGTAGTAAATATTTGTTATGGTCTCGATATCTAATAAGTTCTGTCATTTTTCATAAAATTTTGTTTCTTAAAATGACAGTAGTGCTTTCTTAAAACTGTGATGGTCGTACTAGCTTAAATTTAATTAATTTATTTTGCTTTTGGATTTCTTTTCAATTTAATATTCAATAGTGGGATACTTGGCCAACATTTTCAAAAGCCACAAACAATCCTTGTAGGTTTGCAAAATACAATTTTGATAAATATATACATATTTATGAAGAGACAACATAAACAAAAATTCGTTTATATACATTTCAGGACATGTGGAAATAGTTATTTTTAAAAATTAATTCTCACTTTAAGTGGTATTAGTTTCTGTGGAACGGAAGTTTTTTTATGCCATTAACAATTATTGTGCATGATATGAATAATAATAAATAAGGTCAGATAATTGTTGTTAATTGACTTAATTTCTTTAAATTCATTTTTAAACATTGAATTTTTCTGAATGGTTAATTTTATAAATACAAGGTGTGTAGAGCAAGTGTTAACAGTTCTAAAGTGTACTACATATTTTATATGTGGTGGAATTTCTCTTTAATTTAAGAAGTTTGTAGCTCTTAATTTTGCTAAACGAGCGATCTACTTATTATTTTTTTATAGTGTTATCTCATGTCTTGTCTAATACATGAATTATAAATATATACCGGTAGTTGAAATGTTTCCTAGACACTTACTTAAAACCATATATCTTAAAAATAACTGTCAGAAATGAATAGAATTATTTCACTTGTGAAAAAATTAAATTGAACAAAAACTGTTTTTAACACCATGTTCTTAAGCCTGAAAAAAACATTTTTTATTTTAATGGGACTAAATAGAATGAGGCTGTGGAAAATTTTTAAAGAAAGAAGAGGAATAGATTGTCTTTTCTTTTATAGTGTGTACTTCCGTTTGCTTGCAAAGAAATGGAAAATATTCTTTTATTCCCATTAACCAGTAAGTCAAGATATTAACTTTTTAAATTTAAAATTGTTTGAAATTAATTGACTCATCGGTCCACACTTTTGAGAAAGTAAAGTTTAATTTAGAAGAGGTAATTATTTTGTTTATATCAACATCCTTTCTCAAACTACTTGCCGTGGGCACAGAGCATGCTGCACATTTGGGCTATTATGCATAAATTTAATTGAGATATTTATTTATTTATTTATTATTTACTATAATGCAAGAGTCCACCCACACATCTGTGTATTAAAATAGTACCGATATATATGAGAAGTCACTATAAAAGTGTAATCACATTATAATCACGTTCATACTTCTTCTCTAACGCAATTAACACTGAATGGAAATTACTCTTCCCTTTCATTTCACCCTTTTGCCTTTACCATCTTTAAATTTAATGGATGTTGATGAACATAAGCTCAACAATATTACCCAATTAAACATGTTCATATTTATATTACCTGCTTCTTTTGTACTTGTATATAGTTTATATTTAACCCACCATCTACATGTGATGGGAGTGAATATTTAGAAGATATCCCAAAACCATGCTAATCCATACTAATACTAGTAAGAAAAAAACTAATTATGAGATCAGTGTTTATCAGATAATTGTGAAAGTGTACCATTTAAAATCTACTGAACACTTTTTATTGAAATATTTCTTAAGCTATTTAAATATTAGCTCCCAGCGTGTGCCACTTATATATGTTCATGTTAATGTTATTACCAGTATTTTTAAACTGAGATTTTTTTTTTTTTAATTATTCCTGAATATTTTTCATTTTATGTTTAGTAATGACTGCTCATTAGTGACATTGTGATACATTGTTCATACTAAAGCAGCATTTATTTAACAACGTTCACCTTTTAGAAACAAGAAAAGGAGTGCTGGTATTCCTTGTTGAGTATTTAGTTATACATATCACAGTTTTAGAAGTTATTTCCAATTCCTTTGTTCCATGTTGCTTTGACAATGAACATGGCACTAAGCACTTTTAAAAGTGAAATACAATTGTTAAATGTTAGTTAGGCATGCCTACAGTTACTTAGGGAAGTGGGGCATAATGTTGGAGTTCTAAATGTACATGTTGAATGTAAGAAAGAATAAACAAATATCTCATTTCCTTAAATCATTTCAGCTTTATTTAATTTGTATTTCTTTTGTAGTAAATTGTACTGTTTTTTCTCAGCTGAAATATGTAAATTCTTACAACTCTCTTGAATGCTAAAGTGTTTATATTTCTAGTTTTACTTAAGGTAAAACTGGTACTTCAGCTATATAAAGAAAATGCCACGCAAGATGCAAGAAAAATGATCACTTATTTATTTATTTTATGTAGATGTTAAAACATTAAAGTTTTAAGTCATGACACTCTCTCGATACATAAAAGTGCTTAGCAATTGTAGTTTAATTTTGCTCTCAAAAGTATTAAAATTCATTGAAACAATTTGCAAACAAAAGTCTGCAATCAGCATTAGGAATTTTGAAAATGTTAGCACCCTTTTTAATCATATCCCAATGAGGTATTCCTAATTCCTGGGCCATTTTGTGTTTAAAAACGCCTTCGGGTTTGTCAGATGGTGCCAAACTAATGTTCTCTTTAAATACTTGAACTGTTGACATCTTTCTGGACGTCTTGACTAAAGTTACAAGCGCAGAAGATGGAAGTGACAAACAAGATAAAAATGATTTCAGCTGTACACAGTTTTTACCTAAGTATTTAAAACTTTCATTAATTTTGCCAAGATCTGAAAAGTGCATCAGAAACTCCCAATAGTGGCTGCAAAAAGCTAAATTCTGCAATGTGGCACCATACAAGTCTGCAATGTTGTGGAGCAGCTTGGCAGAAATGTTACTGGAAAGGTTGTCAAATATCAGAGATTTGAGAAATGGATTAGGGTGCAAGTCTTCATGGCACATGGCTCGGTTTTTGAAAATGTAGTGTACATTGAATATTTCTTTCTTGCTTTCGGGCAAATCCTTCCTAATTTTCTGCCAATCCAAAAACAGTTTTTCATAAAAGCCGCTATTTTGTGTATAATCATCATTGACCAGATACAAGTTCATTAGCTTCTTCTTGCTCAGGCTTAAAATTATTGATGTATCAACTGACTGGATTGGACACTTCAGTGTATGAAGATTGGTACATTTCAATAAGTCCATTACACTTTGATGACTGCTACAATCAAGGACCAAACCATGAGAAAAATCCAAGCAGACAAGAAATTTTGAGAGCTCATTTTCATGTAGATACAACATGTACTCTTTTATCCCTGTTTGAACTGTGTTAATAGAAGAATAAAAAAGCCTGTTTATTGATAATTTAAAGCTAAATGGATTTCTAGATGCCAAACATAAAATAGGTTGAAGGTAAAACTCAAAAGAGAATTTTATCTTAGAGAGAGTTACATCAGGAGAGTGCATCAAGCACAGTGTCTTCAGATGTCTGCAGTTCTCAGCCACAGCTTTTAGTAGATGAAAATCACTGTTTCTCTCTTCATCCATGTAGAGCACTTTGTGACTCCAGATGGTACATGATTGGAAATACTGGCCATAGTTTCTGATAACACTCAGCTCATTCTGGACAAGAATAGGAAAATAAATTTGCAATATCTCCACACCATAGCATCGATCATTCTCAAAATTCTCCCAAGCCAGGGGTGAGTTCATGACTCGCTGAGCTGAAGGAACAGCACAAACAAACCATTCTCTTTCTTTCCAGTGAAGGTATGAAATAATTTTACCCAAAACAACATCAGGCATTAATTCAAAATGAAACCTTGAAAATAATATTGGAAACTTTTGAGTGTTATTATATGGTTCAGGACTCACAAGATGCTTTTCTGATTTGCCGAGCCCATTTTTTACATTGATGATTTCTTCTTGCATTCTGATTGTACAGTAACATCTGTAGGTGGAATATGCCATATATAATATTCATATGCAAAAATATAAATTAAACATATTTTCAAAATAAGAAAAGAATGATTTGTTCTAATTTCTGTTATGCATGGCTTTAAAGATCAGGATTTAACATTGTATCTAATGTGCTTAGACGGGTTAGCATAATATTTTTGTATTCATTCAAAAGAAAAATACAATCGACATTAATCAAACTCATATTTCATAAGTCATATTAGTATAATATTAGAATTAGACTGATTAATTAGTGAATTAGTGGATATATATGATATAAACCGCTACAGGAATACCTCAAGTGTTGGCAGCATGCTAGAAACACTAGGCTGGTCACCATTGGAGAAACGACGACGACAATCCAGGCTCTCCATGATGTACAAGATAAATAATGGGCTGGTCCACTGTTCCAGTATTAAACAGAAACTCGTACCTCTCCCCCATAGACAGCGACGAGGCCATGACAGGCAATTCAGGCTCATACCAGCAAGAAGCCAGTATAGGAGCTGCTCATTCCTGCCCAAGACAATCAGGGACTGGAACAATCTTTCAAAAGGAACGGTTGAGGCGACAACACTAGACACATTTGTGTCTATTGCCTCAAGCCTTCAAACCCCCAGTGCATGATTCCCTCACAAAGTGGCACTGGAAATCTGTGAAATTTCCTCATCAACACCAGGAACAGAAACATTGCAAATCCCATCTACATGCATAGGAGCCAAAATGATCAATAAATTGATCGTGGGCCCTTAAGATATAGAAGAAGAAGAAGATATCATATATGTTATATTTTGAATATTAAAAAACCATTAAGTTTAAGACCAAAGATAATCAAAACATATATATATATATATTTACCAACGATCTGAAGGGAAAATGAAGTTTGTTTTCTTCTAGATATGATGTTTTCGAAAACTCTGACTTTGAGAACGCAAGGAGTAAATAATTTATGTTGACGCCATTTAGACATCCGCATTTTTGTTTCCATGGAAACATCTACTATTTAGTTTAGATTTAAATAAGTAAACGCTCTAGAAGTGATGCATAATTTAATAAGAACTAACTTACATTATCATTTGAAAACGATATAGTAAAATTATATTAATTTTAAATTTAGTGTTAAGTATAGGCCTTAAAAGTATAAAATGATTGAACTTGAGACTTGATACCACAAGAAAATAGAAATTATTTGGCGAAAAAACTTATATTTAGACTTATAATATTTCGAATTGAATTATTTCCGTTTTAGATGTTAAAGATGTCTGCGTCCTTGCAAATTCCCAGGGTGAGTTGAAAATACGATAGAAACAAGAAACGATAGAGGTTAAAAATAGAAAAATTATAAGAAATGGTTTTAAATTTTGGGCTGATATTAAGGAGGGATGCCACGGCGTCTTTGTGTGTTTATTATAGTTGCAGTGAATTAGGGTTTAAGTTTAGGTTAGGTTGAGGGATCGATTTAAACTAAAATTTAGGCTTAGGGTAGATACTTTGGTCAAAAATGTAAACATTTTTTAAATGCGCAATGACTATATAGTTTATATAAGGCAACGCATTCCCTATCACTAAAATACTGTTTAGGGTCGACTTATTTTAAACTTTCAACTTTGGCACATGAATAATTAATAAAAGCTTTCCCTGACCAATGGTTTAATAGCTTTTGCACACGGCAAACTCTTATGAATGAAACTCTGAGATAGTACTACGACGTAGCCGTTATGCAAGTGGCTGTGAATGGTTGCCAATGACAACGTGTTGCACAGGGAAAATTCTGATCATTTATAATATGGACTCTGCAGGGTTTTTAAAGCTCAAATTAAAACATTTCCAGTTTAAATGTCTTCAAAATGCATTCTGAAACACAAAATATAAAATATTTTGATGTATATAGTGGTAAT